TCTGGAGAGGGTAAGTTAGATCTTTCTCGTTCTGGAGAAGGTAAGTTAGATCTTTCTCGTTCTGGAGAAGGTAAGTTAAGTTGCTCTTCTGTATCAGAGAGAATTTCATCTAATCGGAAAGAAGGTGGAGAAATTAGCAGTTCTTCTAGATCTCTATCAATATTTATAGTTTCTTGTTCAGAAACTTGCGGCGCTTCTGGATTCATTTCGTTTGTATAAACTGAAACTGGGTTCACTGGGTATCTTGAAAGAGCATCAGCGTTAGAGTTAATTTTTCCTTTTTTATATTTTATATTGTAATTATATTCTTCTAGTTTCAGTCTCCATCTTACGAGTCTGGATCCTGGATCCTTACAGTTAAAGAGCCATTGGAGGGGTTTATGGTCTGTGACAATGGTGAAGGTATTCCCATAAAGATAAGGTCTAAACATTTTAGTACCAAAAACTATTGCTAAACATTCTTTTTCTGTAGTGCTGTAATTTGTCTCAGCTTTATTAAGAGTACGAGATGCAAATGCAAGGGGACGGTCTTTTCCTATTTCTCCTTGAGATAGAATTGCTGAAATGGCGTACTTCGATGCATCACAAGTGAGAACAAAAGGTTTGGTAAAATCTGGATAAGAGAGTATAGGAGCTGTTAGTAATTTACCTTTCAAGGTTTCGAATGCAAGTTGCTGTTCATTATTCCAGGTGAATGAGGTGTTCTTTTTTAAAAGTGAAGTCAGGGGTTTAGCTAACATGGAAAAGTCTGGAATAAATCTGCGATAGTAGGAAATAAGACCTAGAAAGGATTTTACGTCCTTTGGAGTTTTTGGAGTAGGAAACTCTTTCACGGCTTTAACTTTGTCAGGATTTGGTCTAACTCCTTTATCCGTAATTATATGACCTAGATAATTTACTTCTTTACGTAGAAACTCACATTTGTCTGGTTGTAATTTTAAATTGAATTGACGTAACCTATTGAATACTTTCTGTAACTTTTCTATATGTGAATTTAAATCATAGGAATAAATGACAATGTCATCCAAATAAACATAGCAATGTATACCTTGGAGACCAGATAATACGGTGTTCATTAGTCTTTGGAAGGTAGCTGGAGCGTTTTTTAGCCCAAATGGCATCCTCTTAAATTGGAAGTGTCCTTCTGGAACGGTGAAGGCTGTCTTATCGGCATCTTCTGGTGCTATTTGAATTTGGTGAAAACCTGACGCTAAGTCGAGAGTAGAAAAATATTTACTATTACCTAATTGATCTAAAATTTCATTTATTTGGGGAATGGGGTACGATTCGCCTATGGTTATATCATTGAGTTTTCTGTAGTCTATTACTACACGCCATTTTCTTTCGCCAGAGGCATCAATTTTTTTTGGTACAACCCATATTGGTGAAGACCATGGTGATACGGATGGCTGAATTATATCTTGATCTAACATCTTATTTATTTGTTTGTGTACTTCATCTTTATGACACTGTGGAAACCTATATGATTTTGTATTAATGGGAATATCGGAGTTAGTTTTAATTTGATGTTTCAGTGCATTTGTATATGTTAGTTGGTCATCAGGTAAATGAAATATATCAGAGTACTGAGAGCAAATATCTAGAAGTTGTTCACTCTCTTCATAATTTAGATGAGATATTCTAAGAGATTCTAGAACTTGTTCAGTTCTTTCTATTGTATTTTGACAATTGTTTACTAAATTTACATTCTGTGCTGGAATTTTCTCTAATTTGAGTTGTAGATTAGAATTTACTTGGATAGGTTCTTCTGTAATATTTAATATAGTAATGTTAACTCTATTGTTAGGTTTCACTCTTACCATGCAATTTGAAATAAGTATTTTATCCGAAATTTTCTTATCTAATATTAATCCTTCTTGAATTTCAGGATTTACAACAGTGCATTCTATAACCGTTTCAGATCTAGGTTTTATAACATATGTAGGTTCGTGAAACATAAGGTAAGTTTTATAGTTATTTATTTCTAGGCTGTTGGAATTGTAATTAATTTGACAATTATATGTCATAAAAAGGTCAGTACCAATAATGCCATCATATGGAAGCTGTAATTCGTCAAAAACGTGAAATTTATGACATATATAGTTGTTACCAATTTTTAATTTTAAGTTTACGTAACCTAAACTTTTCAATGGAGGTTCGTCTTTCGAATTTATTCCTCTTACAGAAATATTGTTGGGGTACACTTTTAAGGTGTTTGATAGTGCTGAACTTTTAATGAGGCAGACTGAGGCACCTGTATCTATTAATAATGACAAGGGTCTAGAACTGCCAGAAGTTGGCAATTTAATATGGGGTAAGTATCTATTATTATTATTACTTGTTATTTTATAAATCTTATTCGTGCCATTTTTAAGATTTTGTCGCGTCCGACACGTTGACGGGACAACTACTCGTTTAAAGTAGGCTGTTGACAGTTATAGTCGTCGTCCTCGTTGGGTTTATCTTCAACGTATGAGCCTGTTTCCTCATAAGGGAATAAACTCCCTTCTTCTTCATAATAAGAAGGATCATCCTCTACAAAATTTATACGAGGTCTATTAGGATTACTCGAATTTTTATTACTAAATTGAGGCCTGGAGTTATTAGTAAGTCGATTATATTGACTAACTTGTCCTTGACCTTGAGGAGGTCTTGGAGTAAATGTGGTAGGCGCACTATTAGGATAACGCTGCAAAGGGTTAAAAGACCTATACTGATTAACCTGCCTGGGTACATTATTAAAATAATTATTTCTATGAAAATTATTACTATTTGTAAATTTATCTACTTTATTAGGTTTTTCAAAATTTTCCGCCTTTTTATATAATGTTTTCTGAATTTTTTCCTCAGAAATAGCTAAACTAATGGCCTCATTTAAATTTTTAGGCGATCTACACCTAACTATATTCGATATGCGTGGGTGGAGACCCATCAAGAAATGGTGGAGGGCTAGGTCCTCCATAGCAGCTGTTCTGCCTGGAATCTCTAATTTTTTAGTAGGATTCATAGAAATCTCTGTCAAAAGTTGAGATAAGATAGATTCAATTTTAATAGAAAATTGTGTGACATTTTCCACAGATGTTTGTCTACATTCCTGTAATTCGCTTATTAAATGAGAATAATGTTTCCTTTGACTAAATTGAGTTTTTAGAAAATCTTTTAATTGGTCATAGGATGTAAAATCTTTTATTGAGGCTGCTATTTCAGCCTTGCCTTGTAGTTGACTCAAAATGTATTTAAATAATATATGTTTTTGTGATTCAGATGCAAGTTCGTATGCGTTATTACAATTTGTTAGAAAAGAATTAATTGTATCCCTAGATCCGTCATAGGGTTTAATAAATTTCAAAAGAATATTTAAATCAATTTCATTTATATATTTCTTTTCCGTTTTAGACACGGCGGGTGAAGGCGCTTTTTCTCCGTCAGTAAGCGGAACTATTGGGATATCAACTTTTTTTGCCATTTTTAAATTATTTTATCACTCGATCTGGATAGTTTGTTACAAATTAATATTATATTGTAAATATATCAAAATATAAAATCAATAAAAATAAACAGAACAATCAGAAAAATAATAAATCAGTATTAAATATTCATAAAGTATAAAGTATTATAACTTTTGTTTCAATAAAATATTCGTCAGAATAACAATTGTTTAAAATAGAAAATTGATAATAATATATTATATTGTCTTTAACGCGCAACTTCCAGTAATTGTTTTGATTGTAATACTATCTATCACTCACGTGTGGGCCACAAGTAACACGAACACGACGCGGGTGGCGACGAGCTGCATTCTTGTAGATAAGGCCAGACCTTGTATGCCCGCCAGCTCAGTGGTCACAGGTTCAAAACCTGGCGTCGTTCCGGACGGGAGACGAACACGGCACACGTACTAGGTCCTCTGCCAGTAGACGTAGGCGTCTCACTCTCTGGTGGACAACCTGGATTTTCACTAACACTTTTCACAGCTTTTATAGCTTTTCACAAATTTTCACAACTTTTCACTTATGGTGGTTCCCCACTTATTTGAAGTTACGCGGAGCCGAGAGTTCGCGGTCATTTAAGGCACAAGAATTTTCGTGTAATCCTGGGGTATCCGTGATTATTATAACCCCCTGGGATTATTATTATCCCACCGCTGCCACCAATTGTTATGGGTCCCTGGATAAGACCCTTTTTAAAAAAAGATTTATTTATCACTGAAAACACTTTAATAACTTTATTAATTATTTATACAATATATATATGGGATATTAAGAGCTAGTGCTCTCGACCGACGATACTCTCGAACTGACTTAATACAAATTAAAGGGCATATATATAGAGTACAAAATGATGATAGCTAGTAGGGCTATAACATAAATAAGCAATAACCCATACAGCGAAGGGGTATAACAGCACGCATGAAGCACTTAATCGAGTAATCATACGCCAAAATGCCTTACATCAATTTAGAAAAAAACTGATACTCTTACACTGCTGGACCGATATTAACCAAACATAGCTAAAAACCACCGCAAGGAAACTGGATTTCAAATGAAAAAAACCGCATCGAATTCAGTCCATCCGTTTGAGAGCTACGATGCCACAGACAGAGACACGCAGACAGACAGACATCAACGTCAAACTAATAACACCCCGCTTTTTGCGTCCGGGGTTAAAAAAGCTTAAACTGTTATATTTTATGAAATATATTGTATTTCAAAATTTTTATTAAGTAATTGCTGAAACAGTTATTACAACTATGCAAAACTAAAATACGTCTGAGTGAAATTATTGCCCTCTTGATATTGCGCAGATACATTTGAGCGCATTTTATTTGCGCCAACTATACCTACTTATCTATTTTCTTTATTCTAAAAATTAATATTAAACATAGTAGGTATATATTATTCTTTACAAAATTGAAAAATTGCTGCTTGCCAACATAAAATGAATTCTACGACTCAATACAAAATATATAATAACAAATATTACTATAAGTAAATACTCACAAAATCTTCAACAGCTGGTTGCGCTGGATCGGTGATCTTTGATTGTCTGTTTAATATAACGATAACGCGTCCTGCAGCTTTTATTCCCTTTTGGAAATTAGGGGCAAACGCAAAAGCTTGTGTAGCTGACGATGAACCCATTAAAAGCGTTTGAGCGGATCTAAAGAATAGAATTGCACACTATGTTGCTTTAAAAGCTTAAAAGTATTAAAGTTTACAATAAAAAGTAAAAACAAAAGTAATAATAAACTTATCCTATACATATTGTTGTATAATTTATTTACCTACTTTGCTGTATTTGTAAATTGTATGTTTAATAAAAGCTGAAGCTAAAATGATAGTTTCACGAATTTTTAACCTCACTTCATCTGCTTTAAGTATTTACTTACTAGATATATTATAAGAATGACAAGAGGCAAAATTCTATGAAAATATAGGCACGTACGTTATTATTCGAGAAAAACAGTTAAGTATTTCACGTCACATCGTAATATTATAAAGAGGTAAAGTTTGTGAGATTGTGAGTTTGTGAGTTTCGTGAAGTTGTAGGGGGTAATCTCTGAATCTACTACACCGATTTAGATGAAATTTGGTAAGAAGATAGTTTGAGAGCCTGGAAAGGACAAAGGATACTTTTTGTCCCGGAAATCATCCCTTAAAGAGGTAAAAATGGGGATGAAAATTTGTAGTGGGAAGTAAGCTAGGGACGAACCCGAGCGAAGCAAGGGTGAGTCTTAAATACGCTAGAGCTTAAACTCTTTAAATACTCTACGATAACAACTATATAAAGTGTAGTGAACGAGTGTCTTGGTCCTTGGACGAAATTTATACATAGATAGAATATAAACTGGAGTAACATATAGGCTGTTAAGCAGATAGGTACGCACTCGAGGCAAGTGATCCTCTCAAAAAAGAATTACGGCACTTACTTAAGAATGACATCGTAACCAACTCCTTGGTACACCATAAGATTTCCGCCATAGAACAAAGTAGCGGAATATACAAAATTAAAAAGACCTCTTGAGAGTCCAAAGACAAGTCCACGCCAATGGGTAGTGCGTTTAGCCATAGTCAAAGCTGGTAAAAGCAATCTGGCATATTCTTCAGTGAAAGCTTGTTCCCTGCCTAAAGAAGCTACAGTACGAACATTGGACACCGCTTCTACCGCTACCTGAAATATGATACAAATATTAGCGCTAAATGCTAATAATATTTACCTACTTATAATTATATCGATTACAAACTTATTTTTGTATGTATTCTCCGGATTAAGACGATCTGATGATGCGCTCAGGAGGTGGACAGTGAACTCTTTAATTTATTAATTAAAGAGTTCTTTAATTTATTGATAAAAAGATTCCTTTGCATTCGTTTAAGAGTGTGATAATGAAGTCAGGAAGTTGAATCATGTTCGATGGGATTAGTAGTATTCCCTATAAATTACAAGTAATCCCCATAAACTTGACTTAATAAAGCGTCTTTTTGAATTTTTTACTTTACATAGTAATATAATTTTTTATATCACTCGAAAATACCGCAGCATAACTTTTCAGTTCTTTACTTGTTAAATTTCAGAAAATTCTTTTCACGATTACCTCTAAAACGGATTTTGTTTAATTCTTACCATATATATCATTAGAATAAGCGTTGCGCTGCAAAATGTTGACTTCTAGGTCCAGACGCTAAGCCGCGTCGAGAATGATGAACCAGTTAGAAAAAAAAATGACTAAAATATTACCTTAGAACTAGATTCCATTGTTTTCGCAGTGCCGAACGATTCCGCAGTGACCATCCTGCCTTCTTTATATAGAACTGCAGCCATGAAAGGTACGAATGCTAACGCAACTAAGCCTAACCGCCATTCGTAGTACAAAGAAACACCAAGCGCGAAACTAAATGTACCAACTGCCTGTAACACTGTTCCTATTCTTTGACCTGTCGCCTGTAACAATACATCTTTGTTATAAAGAAATGGATTTAGTCAAAAAGAAGTGTTACAGACTGTTTTTAATATATCACACATATGTCTTCTAGAGCTTTTACTCACAGAAAAAACACAAACTTCTTGGCTAAATAATATGAAACAACAATAATTTTGACTTATCACTTATGTGCGAAGGGTATATTATTTACCATTTATTATGACCAAAACCCCGATTGTCTAGTAGTACTCAATAATAAATAGCTGTAATACTAGTAGTAGTAATAGTAAAAAATATTGAGTTTTTTTATCAAAGAAACCTCAGTAGCAGTCATAGTTGACAACCATTGGTCCGTTGGTTGCGCCTCATCGCTCATTGGTCGTATTGAACTGATGACTGAGCAGAGTTTAAAAATGTAAGGTACAGAGAGTACACTTGGGTTTGCGCATACACTTTGTACACTATAATATGTCCTACGCAGTTTGATCGTTTTAGTGAGATTAGCCTTCATAGCCGAAATTAGTAAAGAGGTCAATATTACAGATTACTTACCCCTTGTACAGCAGCTGCTTCGCCAGAGAGTCGTGCACATAGAGCGCCAGTAGAATTGTTTTTATCATCAAAGAAACCGATCTCTTGTTGGAGTAATTTCTCGAACATTAACTTCCTTAATCTGGCTGTTAGATGTTCCCCTGCCATGCCGTACATAGAAACCTAATTTAACATAGCAATTATTAAATTAAATATTTATATAAGATTTACAACACAAAGTTATACAAATGCAATATTACCATTACGAAGTTAGTGACACCTGAGAAAACACCAATGCCAACAAATATAAGGGCGTATCTTCGTACTTCTGCTGTAACTGCTTCTGTGTCAGGATTTGAGAGCACCTGTGCGATATCATAATAATATTAATTACTTCGTCTCAATTTAATTTTCAATTAGACCAAGATATTTTTTTAATAATGTATGTTACTAATCATCTTTGGATAAAAACTTTGATTTTCGTTTCTAAAATATTCTTCATCGAATCTATGCAGGAGCTTGTAGCATTGTGTATCGATGTACAGTAATAAAGCCGCGAGATAAATATGACTTATAAAAATATGACTTAAACGAAATGTAATTGTACTCGTAAATGCAATATGCAAAATTGAATTTAAAACAGCTTGTAAAAGTCTACTTGAATAAAGTATATTTTAATTTCAATGAACAGAATATTTGTTTCTAAACAGTTGTGAAGTTTTATAAAGTGTAGTGTATGTTACATTCAAACACTTACACCAAGAAAGTCTCCAAGTATAACGGCAAGTAGAGGCATTGAAAAGCCACTGACGAGGGAACATAAACTCGCCGCTGTAATCGACTTCCACTCAGGTGCATTCAATTTTACAACTTGGGCAAAAGATACATCTTCGGCATCCAAAGATTGGTCAACATCCTATAAAAACAAACGACAAAATATTTATTATAAAGCCTTCTTATCTCTACTTTCTACTAATATTATAAAGGGGTAAAGTTTGTGAGTTGGTGACGTTGTAGAAGGAGTGGGGGGAGCGGGGGGGGGTAACTCTGGATCTACTGAACTGATTTAGATGAAATTTGGTAAGAAAACAGTTTGATACCCTGGGAAAGACATAGGACACTTTTTATCCCGGAAACATCCCTTAGGGGGGGGGGGGTGAAAATCGGGATGAAAGTTTGTATTGGGAAGCAAGCTAGGGACGAACCCGAGCGAAGCGAGGTTGAGTAGCTACTCGGTAGTATACGTACAGTATACGTATAGTAGTAGTACAATATTCACATAAGAATAGATCGGCGAACTTACTTCTATTTTGGTTTCCAAATGTTCCTCTTCATCTTTTTCGCTTAGTATTGAAACTGCGCGGTCTAAATTATTTCTTTGTCCTATAAATATAATGTATATATTCAAGAATTTTTTTAAAGATTTGAGAAATATTATACTTAAAAATTTGAACTGAATTAAGACTATCTATCTACACATATAATAAAATTCTAACTGAGTCGAATCTGTACATTAAATATTTTTTGGAAAATCTTAATGAAATAGTCATTATTCTGAATTCAGGGACCGAATCTATAGTTTTTAGAATTTTTGTTTGTCTGTCTGTCCGTCTGCCTGTCTGTCTGTCTGGGAATGCATCACGAGAAAACCACTGGACAGATTTTGATGGGTATGATGATCGCTGGATCAACATATAGGATACTTTTTACTGTGGGAAAATATTTCATCTCTGAGAATTCTATACTCACCGTTAAAACGTTCCTATAGTCGCAAGTACATTATAATATGTATTACTAAAAACCAGCGAACCGTCACTACTCCCTAGTAATATCGACCCTGCGTAAGCAGAGGCATACCTAAGTCCCTCTCGAGGCCTCATATGATTCTAAATTCACTGTATATGAGTTGTATTATAACCTATTTTCCCGAGGGAATGAGATATTTTTTGGCAGTAAAAATGAACATTCCATTATAAATAAATAGTGGAGACACCACACAATAATCACATCAATCTATCTCTCTATTGCGGCGTAAAAAAAGACAAAGAAATATTTTTTCACATGAACAATATTAGTAGTTGAAAAAAGCATTAACTTTATAAAATTATTGAGTCAACTTTTTAGTCTGACCTTTAAAAATATGTTAAAGTATACCTGTTTCGTTTAAGTCAGGAGATGACTGTAACATGACCATGTCATAATAATGTCCTTTTTTGCTCATCAGCTCTTCATGATTTCCACTCTCCACCATATTACCACTTTTGAAAACATAGATTTTATCAACATTTCTGATTGTAGTTAGTCTGTGGGCTACAACAATCGTTGTACGGCCTTCCGAAGCCTGCAAAGATTCAAGTTTACATTAAATTTTTAGATTTTACCGTCTACATATAAAAATATCTAAAGCAAACTGCATAAATGAAATATTACCGCAACTTTGATGTACTTATACTATTTTAGAGAGCTATTTCTGAAATTAATACCTTATCAAGAGCTTTTTGAACTTTGGCTTCAGAAGATGTGTCCAGAGCGCTGGTTGCTTCATCTAGTAGCAAAATGCGCGGGTTCCTGACGAGAGCACGTGCTATCGCTATTCTCTGTTTCTGCCCACCGGAAAGTGATGCGCCGCGTTCGCCCACTAAAGTGTCATAACCCTATAAAATTTAAATTGTATTTATTGTATAACAGTTATTTACCGAATTATTATTTTTTTATAATTATAATCCTTAAGATTCAAGATTAAATTACTATCTAAAAATCTATATTAAATTATATTTAATAATCTGTACTGTACGTATATATAGATATGTAATGACTTACAGAAGGTAATTTCGTTATAAATTCGTGTGCATTCGCTTGCTTAGCAGCCGCTTCAATGTCAGCGTCGGTTGCGTCTTCTCGGCCATAGCGGATGTTTTGTTTGACCGTTGTGTTGAAGAGCACGGGCTCTTGGCCAACCAAGCCGACTTGCGCTCGCAACCATCTCACTGATACTTCTCGGATATCATTACCGTCTATTAAAACCTATTTAATAAAACTATTTATTATTTATAGTTTTAATTCCTGGCAAAATCTCAGAAATTCAATAACCGCAAAGTCATGAATTCATTCATTAAGCAAATATAGCATATGACTTAATCTGTTTTATTATTACTTTAAGGAAATTCGTATCGCATATTCAATATTATAGGCATACTATGTAGTAGAAACTAGAAGCTTTTTAATATACAACAACTTATTGTTCGACTCTATTAAAATATCAATAATTTAAAAGTCTTAATAATAACATAACTTTTGATAGTTCTTTTGCTTTGAATAGATCTCTCTGAATTCTAAATATTTGAAATTTTTAGGTCACTGTCACTCATCATGACTGATATCAAACTTTAATATAATAGGAAAATATAAAATAGTATATTCATTTCCTTATCATGAAGAATGTAGATAAATACTAATTTAGATTATTAAACCGTTTTTATTTTAATAATGAATCTTACACTGCCATCAACAACGTCGTAGTATCTAGATAACAGCTGAATTATAGTAGACTTTCCGCATCCTGAATGTCCAACCAGCGCTACCGATTGGCCTCGTTGCACAGTTAGATTTACACCTTTTAGGACCTGAAATTGCAAAAAAAAGAAATTTATATAATTATTGATATTTTTCTCGAATTTATAATGAAAGTACAAGTTTATGTATTTTCAATTAATATAACAAAATATTTTAAAGAGTAGGTACCTAAACTTTATATTATTAAGTTGCAGGCAGCTGATTATGTATAATGTTAGTAACACTATACTGTACATATGATGATATAATATGTATTTTTGCCATTATGGTACTTTTAAATTTGTCCACTTTTACTATAGTACCTGGGCTACCGAGCTTCGCTCGGAGTTTTTGGCCTAAAGTACAATTTTTTTTTAAACATAAAACTTGAATAAATATTAAAAAAAAACAAAAGTAAAAACTTTGTATGCGACCGAGATTCGAACCTGGACACCTGTGATTGTTGATCTTGCACCTTGGCCGCTTGGCTACGATGCTTACACCAGAGCGTGCAAATTACCAACCACATTTTGCGTGGAATAATGCAAAAGAAAACTGCATGAAAACTCGAAAACACGCGTTTTCTCAGACATAAGACTAATCTAGATCGATTTATCGCCCCCGAAACCTCCTGTATACTAAATTTCATGAAAATCGTTGGAGCCGTTTCCGAGATTCAGATTATATATATATTTATATATATACAACAATTGCTCGAAAGATATATGATATAGTTTTTTAAGTTTGTAGTTAAGTTGCTTACCGGAACGTCTGGCCTCGAAGGATAGTGGAAAACAACGTTCTTAAATTCTATGTTTCCTTCGATCTTAGAGGGGGTGAAACCGCGGTTTAATAATGGATTTATATAAGGAACATTGTCAATCAAGTTGAAAATCTGTGCGCCCGCACCACGTGCCACCCCAAATACTTCCATAAGTGTAGATGATATACCAAAGTTTGCCGATCCCATCATGACACCAAAAAATACCTAAAAAATAACATGACAAAACTCTGTATTGAAATATAAAAAAATGTATTTAAATACAATTAAAGATAATTAACAGATTTAGACTTTTCTAACACTATTTTAATAAAAGTGTAAAGACCTTTATTTCTGATTAGGTCGCGCTAGCAAATAACATGACATAGTCACAAGATGAGGGCCGACGTCTTCTTATTTCCTAAGAAAAAGGGGTTTTACCACCGATGATTGCTAAATGCGAAATTTAGGTCGTCTCAGTCAAGTCTTATATCTGCCTCGCATCTCTAAGTAACGCTGTCGAGGCCAGTGGAGCTAATAACACTTTACATTTGGAAAAAATCCAAATATAATTTCCATTTCATGTTAAATTTAACTCATGTTTTATCAATATACAATAGATATACATATATTTAAGTACTTACAGCAATCATTGTGTCAACGTCGTACGTTTCAGGCTCTTCAACCATGAGCCTGTAGCCGAACCAAAAAGAAAGAGCATATGCACAGAAAATGCAAAAAAACAATGTCCCCATTGCCATGCCATTGAAGAATCCTAGAAAATAAACAAAAAATAATACTTTAAGCCTTTAGGTATAAAGCTTAAAAGAAAACTTGACCAAAAAAAGTATCATTAGGTACTTATAATTTGAGTATTTTATGTACGTAGCTCAATTTACCCTTTTTTATATTGATTGATCTTGCCTCGATAAGATGTTTCTCGTATCTTTCAATTTCTTTCCTTTGGCCACTGAAAGCATAGACTGTTCGGACCGCCGCTAATACCTCCTCAGCTATTGCACCGGCTTTTCCTGATGCTATTGCCTCTTTTTTTGATAACCTTGATGCTATCTGTCGTAAATTAAAATAAGCATTATTTTTAATCATTTTTTCTTTTATTTTTATGCCTATAAACAAAAACACAAGACGTATTGTAATAAGTACTTAATGATACCTATTATTATGTAACTAGCGGCTCACCATAAAAGGAACCGTACATTTTTCCGGGATAAAAAGTAGTATATTTATTATTCTGATGTATGAAGTAGGTATATTTTTGTAAAGTTTCATTAAAATACAATCAGTAGTTTTTGTGTACTAATCTGTATAAGTTACTATTGTTCTCTAACTATCCCACGGAACTCTTTAATTTTCCGTGATGAAAAGTATCTAAAATGTTGACTGAGGATATAAGATACCAATATGCAAAATTTCATTTAAATCGGTCCAACTATTTCGGTGATTAGCTCGTACAAACAGACAAACAGACAGAGAAACAAAAAATTGAAAAAAAATCTGGATTTGTTCTATTTATCTCTTTTTTATCATTTTTTTCTATGTACAGACATTCGATCTCTACAGTTTTATTATACGACGTATAGATATTAAAAAACACTCACTAGTCCAGCAAGTCCTACTAAAAACAAAGTTACTGGAAATGAAATTAAACACAGCAAAGCCAATTTCCATCCCTTAACCAGTGCCATAATAATAGAACTGACAAACGCCGCCTGGTAAAAAATAAATGTCGCTAGCTTCTCTCCTATACCATCTTCTAATTTAACCACGTCACTAAAAAAATAACAGAAAACTTTAGTGTAATAATACAACAGGGTTCAGTTTAAACGCTAAAAGGTAACAGACGGAGTTATTTTCGCATATAGGTATAATATTTGTATGAATTTTCATCAAAGATATAAAAAGTAACTCACCTAGTCATTTTTACTGCAAAATCTCCAGTCTGATGTGTGTCAAAATATTCAAAATCTTGATTTAAAGCTGCTTTCAAATATTCTTGTCGAATTCTATATACCTTTTGATAAATAATAACATTATGTTAATTATGTACATTATCATAATATATGTTTCAGTTAGGTAATGTTTAAAAGAACGGTCAGGTCAAATGTTTTAGAACCCAGGAACAAATAAGAATCACTCTCGAAACTTTTCTTGAAAATTTTTCTCCTTGTTTATTTTTTTATTCTTTCTTTGTTTTCCTTATTTATTATCGAAAAGTACAAGTTTAGAGTGACGTGAATTTTTGAAAAGGTACGTTAGTAAACTGTGTACAGGCGGTGGGTACGTAAAAAAAAAAGAACATACACATATAAGTTTTCCGATCTTAGAACTCTAGGACTTATTACATCACTCGACACTAAAAGTAACTTAACCATAACATAAATTAAAGGATATACGATACCTGATTAAAAGCAGCGATATTCATAAAAGCAGTTGCGGCATATGATAATATTACTAGTACTGCACCGACTATGCTATTATTGATTGCGAATTCTCTGATAGCTTTGAGAAATTCCTCGTTTTGGGGTTCTCCAACTTGCACAGATATACCAAATGAAACCATACTTTGTAGCAAAGACGAAAACAGAAGAGTATTAATTGGTGTCAAACACCCGCAAATGATAGAAGAGATTATTGCCAAGAAAATGTACAGTTTATCCAATCCAGTAGCGAAGCGGTACTGAAACATTTTTTTTTATTAACTTACAAGTAAAAATACAAGTACATGAATATAACAGATACTTTATTGAAATGTTATACAAAAATATATTTTGTATTTTTTAATCCCCCAACGCAAAAAGAGGTGAGTTATAAGTTTAAAGTGTGTATCTGTGTGTCGGTGTATCTGTATAGGGCATCTTAGCGCCTAAACGTATAAACCGATTTTAATTTAGTTTTTTTTGTTTGAAGTATATGAAGAACTTCCACAGATCTAATTGATTCGAAACTTGGTATCCCAACACTTTAATTGCAATGATATGGTAACGTAGGCCTGATGCGTCACCAGCGTCTGCACGATACTGAACTCTTTCCTAAAATACTGTGACATCGTGTTAAGGCTCATTGAACTGACCTCAATGAAGAGATTATTGTGTTGGCGTTTTTTCTTTTTAATTTTTAATTTTAGAGTTAGGTATTAGGTAAATTTATTACTTACTAGTGTGATAAATGATACGCTCGGAACTTCATTGCCATTTTCTGCGGCGCTTGCACTGTAATAATAAATAGTTAAATAAAACGTATCCGCATTTTTTTTTTATTATCTCGACCTAACTAATATCATAACTTCAACAATTCGACTTTACAGCTAAAGCACTAAAGGCCAAATCTATCTCCATTGAATAATTATAATAAAATATTTTCAATTTTACTTATAATAAAAAATACATACTAAAGTACGTTGCTTATATTGCTGAAAGGATAAAAATTTTCTTACTATGCCGAAAATATAATTAGAGATGTGCCGACTAGTCGGCCACTTTTGTAGTCGGCGACTAGTCGGCGAATAGTCGGCAAAAAGGGCCGACTAGTCTTCTTACTTTGTACGTATTTTTAATCAATCCATCAAAATATACTTTATTCAAATAGACTTTTACAAGCTCTTTTAAATCGTCATTATTACATTATGAAAATAAATATTTTACATTAAATATCTGTGTGTAAGTCCGTGAGGAAACTAATAAAATATATGTATTTACAGCCCTTTTTCATGTTAGAAATCATTCGCACATGAAAATATCAGATGTGCGAAACAGAGATTGAAACCGCATTACTCGGTTATCCACGCGAGTGTGTCACTGGGCTCTCACTGTCGCTATAACTAGAGAGCCAGCTTAAATCTGACAACACATATTTTACGATACCTGAAATTTTGTCTAGCTATACTGCTATACCCACTGAACAAGCAATGGGTGCTAGCTGAGCCCGACCGCGGAATTTATATTAATGATTTGCCATTTTTTGTACAGGACAAACATGAGATAGTATTATTCGCTGATGACACGCAATTCACTAATGTACGACGATGTAAATGATGCTCTCTCAAAGGTTGTCTATTAGTTTGATTTAAATAATTTATTATTAAATAATAAAAAGACAAAATTAATAAAATTCTCAACACCTAATGTCAAACTTGTTGATGACGGTGTAATATTAAATGGCGAAGTGTTAAAAACTGTAGAGTCCACTAAATTTCTAGGTATTATCATAGATTCAAAATTGCAGTGGGGCCCCCATATTGAGGGGCTAGCGAGTAGACTCAGCTCTGCAGCGTTTGTGGTAAAAAAATAAGACTTGTTACTGATGTAGATACAGCTCACATAGTATATTTTAGTTATTTTCATAGTATTATGTCTTATGGTATCTTACTATGGGGAAATACAGCTGCTATTAATACAATTTTTGTCCTGCAGAAAAGAGCTATTCGTGCAATTTATGGTTTAGGTCCTAGAGTGTCATTAAGAGATAAGTTTAAAGAAATAAAAATATTGACTGTTGTTTCTCAGTGCGTGTACGAAAATTTTATGTATGTCCGTAAAAATATACACGAATTTTCCAAGAAGTGTGACATGCATAACATTAATACTAGGAGCAAACACAAACTTGTAATGCCTGTGACTCGTCTACACAGAGTCAGTAATTGTTTTTATGGACAATATATACGCTTGTACAACAGGATCCCAAAAAATGTTCAAAAGGCTTCTATCGCCAAATTCAAAGAAATGTTAAAGAACATTTGTGTGCTAAAGGCTATTATACAATAAATGATTTTATAGAAGATGGCACACCTTGGGAATGAAATGATCGCCTCCAGGCTACTTCAACTTGATAGAAATGTTGTAAATTATAATTTTACTTTAAAAAAAGATAACAAGTTAATATTAGTCCCGCTGAGTTTCTTTCGCCAGTTCTTCTCAGGTCTGAGGCTTCTTCTTTCCGAACTGGCAGTGGACTCATGACGTTCAGTAAAAAATTGAAATAATTTAATGCTGCATAAAATATTTTGAATTTTGAATTGAAGTTGACGGAATAGGTACTGTTGAAGGTAGTTCTGCTTGAATTTGCGACTGCGAGAAATCGTCTATGGTCGAACATTTTATCGAGGAACTTAACTGAGGTATCAGGCTTGGATGTCAGTATTTAATATGGTTGTTCATTCTTGTAGTATTAGCTGTATTCCCATGCCCGCCACGAGAAATTATCATTTGGCATTGGTTACACTTGACTTTGCGGGAATCATTGTCCAATTGTTCAAAAAAAAATCTATATACGAGACTTTCTTTTTGACATTATTAAATTTTAATTAAACTTTTACACTTTAATGTACAATAACACTATTAACTTTACAAAAAAAATATTTTTTAGACAAAAACACCGCTCTGACCCGCACAACAGCAAAATTCAAGAAACAATGCGAAGTAAACAAAACAGATTCTGACACGTTCGCGGGTAGCGGCTGCGACTTGAGCGCGAATGAGCGGTAAACGAAGCTTCTGGGAAATCTCCCGAAACTATGATCGGCTTGGCCGACTAGTCGGCCTCTTTACAGCCTACTAGTCGGGTAGTCGGCTAGTCGGCCTAAGTCGTAGTCGGCACATCTCTAATAATAATTAAATAAGTATGTACTCGTAGAACATTTTAGTTTGAGAACGAGAATGATCTTCACGGGTTAATATTGTACAATTACTTGGTATCATGAAATTTTATTGTTAATATAGAAAACTTACCTATTATTATTAATTTACTTACATACCTAGTTTTCATTGAAATATTATAAAGTAATTAAAATAATTATAATGTAATAAAAAAACAATAGCATTCCCAAGGAGGGTTGATGTTGTGTGTCGTGAGGCGGCCGGTCGTAAAACTTTTGCCGAATCCTATCAGTAGTACGGAAGATGTACTGCGCTGACCCCGACTGAATGGGCATGGAGATGATGATGATGAATGTAATTAAAAACGTATATGTGTGTACTTATGTACGCACGTAAGAAGTTATACTTCTTTGGCGTAACAGAACAAAAATAGCTAAAGATTTCATCCTGTATGTGACAACTCTCTGTAAAAGGAAAGCAGCTAACTTCATAAAAATTCTACTCTAATATTTTTTTCCAAACGTGCCAAAAGAAGTATAACTTCAAAAATGAAATGTTTTAAAATGTCTATTTGAAACATTATATACATACCTACTTATTATTTACAAAAAACAATCCTAATTTTTCTCATTAACATAAACATATAGGTATGTATATCTACACATATAATAAAATTGTAATTAAAAATGAGGTATAAAATAAGGATGAAAGTTTGTATGGGGAATCATGTCGCTAGTATTCAATAAATGGGTTCTTGAAATTTTAATATCACATTACGTATGAAGCGCATATCATTTTACAATACGTCACAAATATTTCACTCTCATTAAATCTGGAAATAAATACTATATAATGGATAAAAAACAATCGTTTACATACCTTTCTTTATCATTGACCGTTCCATTTTTGGTAAATTCCACCTTCGACAAATCATTTACCGTATAGCTTTTCCTTCCTTTCTCTTCTAAATCTTTCATCGTTATACCACTTGTCTTATATTGTAGTATTTAATTTTTATTGTTCTTAAAACATTAAAATTTTATTAACTGGTTTTATTTCACAACAATTGCACGATTTCTTTGCAAACGGTTGTTTCAGTCTCTCCATCGACGATCGACTAGCTATCAGTAGATATTGATAAGACTTATCACGAACATACATTATTCATCTATCATTGAAAAAATATATTTGGTAAAACAGAAGTGAAAGCGGTAATACTTATAGTTTTGGGCAGAACAATAGCGACATCTAATTTCGTCCAGCGCTATCTATCAATAAAATTTTACATTATGAAAGGAAATCTGTTTTTTTCATTTACAGCTACGTGAAAAGCACCTGGGTATATTATATTAATTCCATTATTAATATTATAAATGCAAAAGTTTGGATGTATGGATCTTTGTTACTTAATCACGCCAGAACTGCTGAATGGATCTGGTTGAAATTTGGCACAGAGGTAGATCATAGATTATAGTCTGGAATAGCACATAGCTTACTTTTTATCCCGGAATCCTACAAATATTTTTTAAATGTGAAAATTTATGAATATGGATAGTTGTATGGATGAATGTTTGTTACTCTTTTACGCCAGAACGGCTAAACGGATCTTTATAAAATTAGGCACAACGTTAGATTGTAATTTGGAATATAGGGCATAGGTTACTTCTTATCCCGTAAAAATGTACGATTCCCGTGGATAGATTTGTTTTTGTTTTTCACCAGGGGCGACACCAGTGACACGCTAGTATTTTATATTTTTATGTCTTCAACACGTTGACATCTTTTTACATAAAACTTTTGTATTAGGTCGGCAGTTATTGCAGACTATTGTTTGCAGTTAGAACTTAGAAGTGATTCTAAAACATGCTTTCTGCTTATGAGTATTTATTATCAAAGATTTTAATCAAATTTCATATTAAGTAGTAGTAGTAGTTAGTAGTAGTTTCATAGTAAGCGGTGCATTCTTTATAAAATTGATAGGTATAACATTACGTTCTAAATTATTACCAAACCAAAACATTGATTGAGAGAGAACAGTCAAAACATAGATTTTCTTATCTCGGTATATGTCAAACGCTCTAGGTACATAAAGCATGTTCATTGTTCAAGTGTGTAATGTCCTCTAATTTGTGTAAACTTATAAGATAACCTAAAATATGATATCTTTATTACGCATTGTTGCCTAACATATTGCCGGATATAAAACCTATATACCTACATATTACATAAGTATGTTTAGTGCCGTATTCAACCTTAGCGCCGCTCCTGTGCATATTAAAAAATACCGCTCTATTATCGAAATTTTGCATAAAAAGGGTGAAGTTTCAATAAAGTTTATTTTTTTTAATTATTAATTTATTTTTGAAAATTGAAAAAAATAATTTATTAATGTTTTCATTTTGTCGAAAAATGTACTAGGTAGTTACTTTTTTTTTTATTATTCATTTTCTGGAAAATAATAAAAGCGTTTTCGATAACGCGTAGAAATTTTTTTTTCCACCCTCCGAATTTTGCCGCCCCTGAAAATTTGCCGACCTGTGCACTAGCCCCGAGTTCCCCTAATGTAAATCCGGCGCTGTATATTTATGCCTAAATATGCATATAATAAATCACTGTACGTTAAGATTACACAAACCCAGTATCAGTCCCCTTTTCAAAACTCTTTTTGCTATAAGATCCCATTTATTAAAAAGTATAAGGAACTAGCTGTGCCTCCTTCATTAAGAACGGAGCATCCCTAGACCTGGTTATTTTATAGGGAAAAGCACAACATAGAGAAGTTTCTTGTTTAGGAAAATGATTCTCTGAGATAGTATCTGGAAAAGTTATATAGACATTACGGTTACCATGGCAAAGATAGATTAAAGTGAAAGAGAGTTAGCAGCCATGGTAACCGTTGTTATTGTCTGACAAATGATATATATGTAATATTATATTCTTTTCTTCTTTTCTTTCCTTTGCGGCCACTTTTACATAGGTACCTAGAGGTATTTTATCATGCACAGAAAAAAGTTAGCTTTAATTTGATATATAAATGATGAATATACGCCATGAATGTATAAATGTAATATAAATCTTTAATGACTGGCACTAGTCCCCTTTGCGGCCACTTTTACCAGACGTAGTTTATCAGGTACAGAAAAAAAAATAGCTTTAATTTGATATATAAATAATGAAAATATGCCATGAACGTAAAAATGTAACAAAATATGACCTGCTTACACCTGGCTGCGAAGAGGTTGCGGACAAGTGCGCAGTACGGCAGCTATCACTTTTCAAGATCTCTACGTATACATATTTCTATGAAGTGAAGTAAGTATAATTCATTTTAATCACAAGAGCATCGATTGTGTTCCAGTGAGTCAATTATTATTAATTTAGTTAAACATACTAGCGGGCACATTTTAATAGACATTCCGGTCGAAACATATTGTCCCTTTTATTATTTATATTATTCTAATGTATATTAAAAAAATGATTTTGTTTAAATACGCTATGAAGGTAGCAATCTTGCAGCCTGATCTTGATCGTTTTTAGACAACTCACTGTCACATAATGCTTCACGTTTCATCATAATTCCTTAACATTGCACACTATGACTATAAGTCTGAATATTTTACTCTTAAAAGATGATTATTATCGGTATCACTTGACCACTAAACTTATTGATAAAATACTCTATGTTGTAGAAAATTCAAGATTACTATGGTGTACGATTTTTGTTAAGACAAGTTTTGTTTACAAGCTCTACTAAGTTTTATTAATAGATCGCACATGAGATGCTTTTCCGCATAATGCTAATAGTTAAATAGGCCAAAATGATTGACTTCATTCAATACATTCAACGCTCATTTATCTTAAATGTTTGATTTTGAAAATTCTGAACACCATAGCTTTATAATTCAGCTACCCTTTAAAAATAGCCAAATGACAGGTCATTTGGCTAATAATATAATGTATTCGAAAAATAAAAAAATATTGTCTGAAAAAATATTATACTGTCAAAAGTTATTATAGAGATGGAGAATTTTAATATAAGGATAATTTAATTTTTTATAGATGTGTTTACTACTTCCGTCGATGATGTAGTAATGTATTTACTATTTACTGTAACCTATCTATTGTCAACCGACTTCAAAAAGGAAGAGGTTCTCAATTCGACTGTTTTTTTCAACCGACTTCAAAAAGGAGGAGGTTCTCAATTCGTTTTTTTTTTTATGTTTGTTACCTCAGAACTCCGTCATTTATTAACCGATTTGGACAATTTTTGTGTCGTTTGAAAGGGTATGCTTCCAGATTGGTCCCATTTAAATTTCAAAAAAAATACCACCCCTAAGGGTGGAAAAACAACTAATGATGAATTTAACCTACTTCTAATTGTCATATTGACTTGAAACTTTGCAAGTATTTCTATTTCCGTTGATAGTATAGTGGTTCGGTGTTGTTGACCTGATCTGATAGCAAGGCCAGAAAGTGGATGGTGGAATTCTTCAACGGCTAATAGTAGATACTTTGAGTTTGGGCTTATTTTGTTTGATTTGACAAGCCTAACACGTTAGAATCCTTACTTTTCTACTACTGTTTACACTAAAAAGGGCAAAAATAAAAACTTTTTAACAAAAAAATAAAGCCCGACTTCAAACAAAAGCACTAAAAAGTAATAAATAACTGATTGGTAGTTTTCATTTACTATACATACCTAATCAAATATTTTCGAAGTCGGTGTGCTTTGGCTAAGTAATTAAAGCCTACCTATTAAATACATACCTAATCAAATATTTTCGAAATCGGTGCCAGCCCATACAAAGCAAAGCACACCGACTTCGAAAATATTTGATTAGGTATGTATAGTAAATGAAAACTACCAATCAGTTATTTATTACTTTTTAGTGCTTTTGTTTGAAGTCGGGCTTTATTTTTTTGTTAAAAAGTTTTTATTTATGTTTGTTACCTCAGAACTTCGTCATTTATTAACCGATTTGGACGGTTTTTGTTTTGTTTGAAAGGGTATACTTCCAGATTGGTCCCATTTAAATTTCAAAAATAAATACCACCTCTAAGGGTGGAAAAATAGCTAATAATGAATTTAACCTACTTCTAATTGTCATATTGACTTGAAACTTTGCAAGTGTTTCTATTTCCGTTGATAATACAGTGGTTCGGTATTGTTGACCTGATCTGATGGTAAGGCCAGAAGGTGGATAGGTGGAACTCTTCAATGACTAATAGTAGATACTTTGAGTTTGGGCTTATTTTGTTTGGTTTGACAAGCCTAACACTTTAGAGTTCTTACTTTGCTACTACTGTCTACACTAAAAAGGGAAAAATAAAAACTTTTTAACAAAAAAATAAAAACCGACTTCAAAAAAAGCACTAAAAAGTAAAAAATAACTGATTGGTAGTTTTCATTTACTATTCATACCTAATCAAATATTTTCGAAGTCGGTGTGCTTTGCTTTGTATAGGCTGATACCGATTTCGAAAATATGTGATTAGGTATGTATTTAATAGGTAGGCTTTAATTACTTAGCCAAAGCACACCGACTTCGAAAATATTTGATTAGGTATGTATAGTAAATGAAAACTACCAATCAGTTATTTTTTACTTTTTAGTGCTTTTGTTTGAAGTCGGTTTTTATTTTTTTGTTAAAAAGTTTTTATTACACATGGACACATTCATTCAGACTCGTTACGATATAGAATGTATAAAGTTCAAATCCATATTTGAAACTTTAAACATTATTATGTATGTAATATCTTATATATTAAGTAGGTACTAGCAGAACCCGCGACTTCGATCGCGCTAAAACTACAAAAAAAACTCTACTAATACTAACTCTAGGTAGGTAGGTTTCATACAAACTTTCATCCGCTATGTTACCCCCTTATGAGATGAATTTTGAAAAATGCTAAAACACGTATTTAATTAATTGTATTGAAGAGTATTAATACTAAGTTTTAAATAATTTTGATCATAAATAATTTTTTGCAATGTATTATACTTTATAACGTGTTTTCCCGTGGGAAAGAGATAATTTCCCGTGGTAAAAAGCCTATTTCACTCTCCAGCCCTCCAACTATCTCCACACAAAAAATCACGCCAATCCGCCAAGCCGTTTCGACGTGAAAGAAAGACAAACAATCGCACTTTCACATTTATAATTTTAGTATGGATTATAATTTACTTCAAACTAAGCCGCCCTCATAACGCTCCACGTTCGTAGCGCGCCCCTCTAGTAAGGATAATGTTGAACTAGCGACTCACCCTCGCTTCGCTCAGGTTCGTCCCTAGATAGGTTTTGACCTTTAGTATGGAATAAATTTCTTTTCAAATATTTTTTTTCGTGAATTTTTCCTATATTTTAATAATTATTCTACTATTTGAGGTGAATTATATATATATATATATATATATATATATATATATATACAACACAAAAGGAGTATAAACAAAAACTACAAATGCTTAATGTAACATCATATTTTATTATAAAAAAATCAATTTATTTCAAAATTGTCCAGGGGTTGACAGACCAACAGATTGTAATTTGGACACAATTATTAGCTTTACAATCCACCATAGTAATTCATAGTTACATATGTACTGTTATTCTATCTTAATAACTTCAAAATGACTTATCACTAATTATAATAATTTATATTGCTAATATTACATAGTCAAAATTAATAGCAACTTTTTGTACTTTTTTAGTAATTTTATTTGGAATTCTTTTTCTCATGAATTATTAGCCAGTCTTTACGATCAATTCCAGAACTAAAACCTCCTTTCGAGCTACTCCCAATGAGTCTATGACATGGGATCACAATTATGAGAGAATTAGCTCCACATGCTGCTCCAACAGCTCTAGAATGGCTGGTTGGCCTTCCCATTTCTTTTGCCAGTGTACCATAAGTAAGTGTTGATCCATAAGGAATTTCTAACAATTTATTCCATACTTCCTGTAAAAACAAAGTGTAAACTTAACATACAATTTAAAAATTTTACTGTCACATTTTAAGTGAATGAATTTCAAATACACAAAAGTTACGCAAAAGTTGATTTGTTTTTTATATTTTTTAGTAACATTTTTAAAGTAGGTACTATTATAATTTTACCAATTTTCAAATACTTAAATGTTTGAGGATTTAGCGATAAGCTAATGTTCTCAAGTTCTGGACTATGTTAGTGTTTCATTAAATCTGTGTTCTAATAATGGGCATACCTTTTGAAATTCAGAACCGAAAAACTTAATCGGAACAGTAAATCTTGCAAGTTTTCCATCAAAATAATCCTGTATTTCGCACCAAATTTTTTTTAACATTTTATTCTGTCCCTCTATAAACTTACAAAATAATTCTTTAGCAATTATTTGAAACATTTTCTCAATATTCTTTGAATCTACGAATGACAAAATATATAAGAAATCTTCATCAGCAACAGCAACAACTTTGCCTATAGGAGAATCAAAAGTGTCAACAAATACTTTTTGTGTACCATTGTTAGAAAATTTCCTTAAAATCTCAGCAAGAGCCATAATCTTATTCATAACATAGAAGCTATCTAGAGAAATTAAATTTTAAAGTTTTAGTAGGTAAATTCGTTAAAATTAAAAATATCAAATAACGCGCGTCGCACATACCATAGAATATAGATAAATAATAAAGGTTTTATATATTATGTAGCAATATACTCTATGGTCTTAGGCCACAGATTAAAGAGATACGGATACGGTACCAATTACCATAGATGAATAAAAAACACAGGGCACAGATTAAACAGATTAAAAAAAGGCACTGCGCCCTATGGGCTACGGCACTGCTTCTACCTACCCTACCCCAGCCTGCAAATTTATGATATTTGCAATGAAAAAAATACTAATCGATAGATTTTCAATAGCTCAATTTAACTACGTAGCCCTTTCAAATTGCTCACCTTTAATTATTTAATTAAAAATTGTTGAAATGCATTCATGTCATGGACAATTATCTATTGTCTATTGACGTCTATATCTATGTAATGTCTATGTTTAAGTTTTTGACAGCTCTTACTTCCTCTTGCTCTTATGGCTCTGACCGCGACGTGCATCCTTATAAGATATAATATAATATAAAGTGATCTCTGTCAATAAATTTAATGTGCAATAATAATATAATCCAATATCCACGTGTGCGTTGTTTTCATTTGATTCACGCTCCTGCCTACATCGTCTTTGCAACAGGTTATGGGCCCAGGCTTCAAAGAGAACAAAGGGATACAACATGGCGGCCAACGCTTCCCACAACGCATTAACAACTATCGAAAAACTAGAAGGTATTTCAAATTGGATTTCTTGGAAATTTGCAATTAAAATGCTATTAAATTTGGACGGATTGTACAATTGTCTCGAGGGAACCGATACCGACCCTACTCGTGATGCACGTGCGCTTGCTCGCATCTGCTTATCGATTCAACCTAACCTATATCAACTAGTCCGTGATGCAAAGACTGCATCTGATGCTTGGAAGCGATTATCTGACACTTTCGAAGACAAAGGTCTGTACAGAAGAGTACTATTGCTTCGACAATTACACCGTATAGAATTTAATAATTTTTCAAGCATGTCAGACTATATTGAAGGCGTCATGAAGTTGGTTGCACAACTCTCTGACATTGGAAAGGTTATAGATGATGCAGAAATTGCCGAGATTTTGTTGTCGGGTCTACCTGAAGACTTTAATGTACTAGTTTCAAGCCTGGAGACTGCGAGCTTGACGAAGACACTCTCAAGTGAAGTTGTTCGCACTCGCTTACTCCAAGAAGATCATAGGCGCAATAACAATGGGAATACTTCAGAGAATTTAGCTTATGCAGCTAACAACAAAAGAAGATTTAAGAATCTAGTCTGTACATATTGCAGAAAGAGCAACCATACTATTAAACAATGTTTTAAGAGAAAAACGTGATGAAGCGAAGAAAAAGAATGAAGATCAACATACACTGTTTGCAACTGCATACTCCACTTCCCATTTGAACGAGTTCATCATAGATAGTGGAGCCACTGCCCATATGTGTGCTGACTCAACACTAGTCCAGGATCCAGTGAACAAAAAATGTGCTATTACTGTTGCCAATGGACAACAATTACAGTGTGAAATGGTTGGTAAAACTACTCTTTCTGATAATGTTTCTCTAAGTAATGTTTTGTTTGTACCTGATCTTTCTAATAATTTGATATCCGTCAGTGAGATCACTAATAAGGGTTATGTTGTAACTTTCCATAAGGATTACTGTACTATATATAGTGATTGTAAAATCACAGGCAACCAGGTTTTATTTGCTAATAAAAATAATGGACTTTATAAATTTAAGTTGCAAGATCGGCCCAACCCTCGAGTAGGTCATTCTATGTCCCTTCAATCTAGGCAAGGAACCATGAGTGCCAATGCTGCAGCTTGTGTACCTATTAGTATATGGCATAAGCGCTTAGGTCACCTGAATCATAAAGGTATGTGCATACTTGGTGATGGGAATCAGTGTGTGGGTGTCGTTTTTCAGCATGAAGATGATGTGCCCGGCAGCTGCGTCTCTTGCCTTACTGGAAAGATGCATGAGTCATCTTATCCTAGGTCAAGTGGGGGACGTGCTGCTCATCCGCTGGACCTGATCCATAGTGATGTATGCGGCCCGATTCAAGTGAGCAGCTGGGGTGGAGCTCGCTACTTGCTTACCTTTACCGATGATTGCACTAGGAAGACCTTCGGTTATCTTATGAAGCACAAATCGGAAGTGAGTTCTCATTTTATTAATTTTAAAAACTTGGTAGAAAAGCAAACTGGTTTGCATATTAAAGTATTACGTACTGATAATGGTACAGAATTCTGTAATAATAATTTATCCAATTACCTTAAAAAGGAAGGCATTATTCACCAGACCTCTGTGCCTTATTGCCCTCAACAGAATGGGTTAGCTGAGCGTGTTAATCGTACAGTTTTTGAGAAGGCTCGAGCTATGTTACAGGAATCGTGTCTGTGTGATAGATATTGGGGAGAGGCTGTTATGACAGCTATTTATTTAAAAAATAGGTCTCCAACTACTGCACTATCAGATAGAATACCTGAATGTGAGTGGACCGGATCAATTATTGATCTTAGTCACCTCCGTGTTTTTGGCTGTGTAGCTTATTCACATGTTCCTGACGAGAAACGGCGCAAGCTAGATGCTAAGGCGAAGGAATATATTTTTGTAGGATATGGTGAAACATGCAAGGGCTACCGTCTGGTGGACCCACTTGACCCTAAAAAGGTCATTTACTCTAGAAATGTAGTTTTTCTTGAGGATAAATTTTATGGAAAGGATGCTGATACATTAAAGGCCAATAGTGGCAGAGCCAATTCTATTATTTTTGACAATTTTATTAATGATGACAATTTTTTAATTAATAATAATTTAACTAATGATAAAAATTGTGACATTATCTGTGGCAATAGTTCTAATAATAATAATGAAAATCCAAGTAATATTATTAATATTGACCAGCCTAATAAGAATGTTTCGGTTACAGATGGGACTACAAGCCTGCCTTTACAGTCACCACTATCGGATGTTTACCGTACTGCAAGTGAAGATTCTACTGAGGATGATGATGATGAGGCTGAGGTGCTTTCTGGCTCTGATGTCTCGCTGTCGCCCTCTTTATCTCGAGGAGCAGAGCAGACTGCGTCTAATGGTAACGACGTGTCCATCTCTCGCCCTGTACGGAGTACCCGAGGTATTATTCCCGAACGTTATAAAGATTATTATTTATCTTCATTATTGGCTGATGTCAGCTCATTGGATGAGCCTTCTACTTACGACGAGGCGATGAATTCTCCGGAGAAGGATGAATGGCTTAAAGCTATGAGAAGTGAGTATGACTCTATGATTAAAAATAATGTATGGGACTTGATAGATCGTCCTAGTGACGCTAACATTGTCAAAAACAAATGGGTTTTTAAGAAAAAGTTTGATGCAACAGGTAAATTTATTAAATTTAAGGCTAGACTAGTTGCCTGTGGTTATAGTCAAAAAGAAGGTATAGACTATGCGGACACTTTTGCACCTGTAGTCCGGCATTCAACTTTACGAATTTTGATTAGTATTTCAAATCAGTTGGACTTGTCTATGGATCATATTGATATCACCACCGCTTTTTTGAATGGTGAGTTAGATGAAGTAATATATATGGAACAGCCAACTGGTTTTAAATTAGAAAGTAATAAAAATAAGATATGTCTTTTGAGGAAAAGCTTGTATGGCCTAAAACAGGCTAGTCGCATGTGGAATATTAAAATTAATAATGTACTATGTGCAAATGGTTACAAGCAAAGTAAATGTGAACCTTGTGTATATGTAAAGAAAACTAAAGAAGAGTTTGTAATTCTTGCCTTGTATGTAGATGATATTTATGTATTTCACAATGGATGTATTGAAAGAATTGTATCATTATTAACTCAAAACTTTGAAGTTAGACATCTAGGGAAATTGAAAAATTGTTTAGGCATGAATGTTACTAAAACTCAAAATGTAACTATCCTTGATCAATCTGATTACATAAGGCGTTTATTGGCAAAGTTTAATATGAGTGAATGTAAACATGTATCCACACCATTGCCGGTCAACTGCAAACTGGATAAGTCTGGAGTAAATAATTTACAAAATGATGTGTATAAGTATAGAGAACTACTAGGCTCCCTTATGTACTTGTCTGTATGCACTCGTCCGGATATATCATATGCCTGTAGTCAGCTAAGTCAGTATAGTACGTGTTTTGATGTAAGCCATTGGCGCGCTGCTAAGAGAGTACTTAGGTATTTGGCGGGAACAATTAATTTTGGTCTTTTCTTTGTAAAAACCAGTAATTGTAATATAAATGCCTTCGCAGATGCCGATTGGGCGAATGACTTATCTGACCGCAAGTCGTATACTGGCTATGTCATTAAATTAGGTGAAAATGTCATAAATTGGGAAGCCAGAAAACAGCGATGTACTGCCTTGTCTAGCACTGAAGCTGAATATCTTGCAATTAGTGATGTGTGCAAGGACATCTGTTTTGTTAAGAATTTCTTATCAGAAATAATTGACAAACACTTTGATGTCACTGTATACAATGATAATCAAAGTGCTCAAAAATTGTTGCTAGTTAAACAGTATTGCCATAAAAGAACTAAGCATATTGACTTGCGTTACCATTTCGTTAAAGACTTAATACAGGATGGTAAAATTAATGTAGAGTATATGCCTACTGAAAACATGGTGGCGGATATTCTCACTAAACCATTATGTTCACAAAAGCATCATATTTATGTAAGATCTTTAAATCTGAATTGTTGTACCTAATTGAATTGTTAGATTTGTATTTTGATTTATATAAAGTTTTGCTTGTAATCAAACCTGTATTACTGTATTTTAATGTAGCCTTAATGTCCTTGACAGGAATGAGGAGCAGTGTTGAAATGCATTCATGTCATGGACAATTATCTATTGTCTATTGACGTCTATATCTATGTAATGTCTATGTTTAAGTTTTTGACAGCTCTTACTTCCTCTTGCTCTTATGGCTCTGACCGCGACGTGCATCCTTATAAGATATAATATAATATAAAGTGATCTCTGTCAATAAATTTAATGTGCAATAATAATATAATCCAATATCCACGTGTGCGTTGTTTTCATTTGATTCACGCTCCTGCCTACATCGTCTTTGCAACAAAAATCAATAAAGTCTTTGAAAAAAAAATAATTTATCTGTATATTCAAACTCCAATATCTTTTGATGTATACAATATTTCAAATTGCTCAAAGTTCTAAAACACTGCTCAAGTTGCATTTGTAATTGCTCAAGTAGAGTTTTTACCAGCTCCACTTTCGCTGATTATTAAATAATTAAAAGTATAGTTGTAATAAATGTAACGTAGGTTAAGTGAGCGTGCGCATGCGCACCGCGCATTGTCGGTCAGCCTCGGCGGGCTTGGACAATCGTTTCAATTCAACGTCTTAATTCTGTTTCTCGGTGGATTTCTTTAAATTTATTGAATTTATGAATTGTTCACATTACGTGATTCCACTTCAGATATTATAACATAAAGAACAGATCTGGAATCTACCAATAAATGAAAATTAATACCAACAGATAAATTAAGACAAAATCTTATGTTCAAATGCTTATTCTATTAAGGTAATAGCCATGACAGGAATCATTAGTAAAATGTTATTAACATCAATACAAGACGGAACTTTTTTTATTTTTAAATATACATATAGTTTAATGACATTTTTATTTCAAAGAAACAAACTGCATGAATATAAACTGCCTTTAATATAAAGGAATTTTGAACTCTGATCAGCAATCAATAATTTAATAATACTGCTACGATCCTTTTTAGCTCCTGGAAGCGCCACAAACATTCCATCTCTTGATGCTGAGCTGATCGCCTCTCGGATGTTCCATCTCATTTTCAACAGCTTCGTCTCACTCTTTGACTCCATCTCATTAGAGCCCTTAGTACCGTCCTCTTTTTCCTGATTAATTTAGCGGCGATGTTTCATTTTTCTTAGCGGGGTCCAGTTGTGGTCCGTTTACCGGCATTTATGCTGTTTTCCTCGCCCGAGCGAGACAAGAATTTGTCGTCGTCCTCGTCATCGTTGATTATGCAGAGGAGGTCTGATTCTGAAACTTCTTGGACTTTTACGTGTGTACCTATTAAAATAACGCAGCACTCACCTATCTATACGTTAAATTTATTCAAACTATTTATATTTATTTAATAATTAAGGAAAGTGGAGCTGGTGAGAACTCTACTTGAGCAATTACAAATGCAACTTGAGCAGTATTTTAGAACTTTGAGCAATTTAAAATATTGTATATATCAAAAGATATAGAAATTTGAATATACGGATAAATGAATTTTTTTTCAAGGACTTTATTGATTTTTAATTTTATAATTAATGGTGAGCAATTTGGAAGGGCTACGTAGTTGAATTGAGCTATTAAAAATCTATCGATTAGTATTTTTTTCATTGCGAATATCATAAATTTGCAGGCTGGGGTAGGGTAGGTACTGCTTCTGTGGCAGGCAAGTAACAATAGAGAATACAGATAGATAAATTTACAAAGTATATTTCATTTATTTGTTTATACTTTAGGGTTTATTACTTTAGGGTTTAAATTTTCGATATTTAAAGCACTTTACGAATAAAACTATAAAATTTATATTTTTTTATTAATTTTATAATTTTATTTATAAATTTTATAAAATAAACGATCAAAAAGTTCAACCATTTTCACGAATCTGTCAGAAAGTTCTATCTTTATAAGGCAGGTAGACCGTAGAAGTAAGAAGGACCATCTTAGTGCATTAAAAAGTGTCCGCTGAAATGGAGCAAATTAAGGTGGCGCTATAGTAGCAAGTGGAAGAATTTTAAAAAGAGCGCCACAAATTATTAGAGTAGGATACTAAATTAAAAAAGGAAAAAAATTTAAAATAATAAAAGCATCAAAATAACAAAGATGTATCAACAAAATTTCATAAAAAAACAAATCACTATGTACGGTATTTCAGGAGTTTTGACAGGTTATTACTTATTAAATTACAGTTGACTACGTTAATAGTTGAGATTTTAAATATTGCATATTTCTTAACTACAGATTGGTTGTGGTCTAACATTAACAAGCATGCTAGTTATTGCTCGAAGGTTGTGGCTCACCAACCAACCAAGGTTTTTTTCTAGTTTTTGAATTTATATTTTCACGTATCGTTTGTTATTGATTCTTCGCCATAAATAATTGTTGGCTCGTAATTATTATTATTTTACAATTGCTAACTTTTAGTAGGTACATCTATCGAACGCTAACACCTTGTAGATAACGCTATAAAATACACTGCTGCCATGGTAACCGTTGTTATTGTCTGACAAATGTATATATATATATTCTTTCCGTTTAAGATATTTTATAAACATAACTTGCGATATTTGCCATTTTGCCCATATTTTTTTGTAAAATGCATAAACTTAGAATATTGTGGGCTGCACATAATAATGAAGAAGTGTGGCTCAGGCGCCACAAAAGAAATATTTCTCGACAGTGTTTAGAGCAAATAAGTGAAATGCCAGTTTTCTAATTTATAGAAAGGTTTAGAATAGATAAATTAACATTTAGAAAGCTTTGTCGGGATTTACGTGCCTACCTTATTACGAGGAACTAAAGAGATTCCCTTGGAAATAAAGGTAAATAATCTAAGTTTTATAGAGAGTAGTTTTATCGCAGTGGAGTTATCTTTAATAAAATCCCTTTTAAATAAGCATAGTTTTATTTATTTCAATTTACAATTTATTAACACAACCTGACACATTTATTTTTTACTGACATCTGTCTAAATTATATTCTTATATTTAAATTTTATTGCAAGACAGTATTCTCTATGACACTCACCCTCACGAAGATCTTGGGGTGTCACCTCAGGTCTGAGTGACCCTTATCATCTTCAGCAGTTTTATTTACCTTGGCTGGGTTAAGGCCTTTGTTAAAAGATCTGCCTCCATATTGTCTGTATCCTTATAATGGATTCTTATTAGTTTCTTTTGGACACAGTCTCTTATAAAGTGTTCCCTTATGCTTATATGCTTTGACCTTTTTCCAGTCATTAAATTGTTGGCTAACTTCTGTGCAGCTAAATTATCGTTGTAGATTGGTACAGCTTGTGTAGTCACTCCAATATCTTCCAAAAGCTGTTTTAAGTGTAGTGCTTCCTTTGCGGCTTCAGTCATTGCCATATATTCTGCCTCAGCAGTTGACAAAGCTACAACTCGTTGCTTCTTTGTAGCATAACTTATTAGACCACCTCCATACTTGAAGATGTAACCCGTATATGAACGACGGTCAATGGTACATGCTGCCCAATCAGCATCAGCCATTCCTACTAATGCACTTCCTGTTTTACTATATCTGATGCTAACATTCTTCGTGCCTTTTAAATAATGCAAAACCCTTTTTGCTGCTTGCCAATGCGTTTTTCCAAAACAAATATTATATTGGCTCAAATAACTTACTATAAACATAATATCTGGTCTCGTAGCTATAGCCAGATACATTAAAGAACCAATCAATGCCTGGTATGGTATGTTCTCCATTTCTTCTTCTTTTTGTGCTCTTTCCAATTTTAAACCTGTTTCCATCGGCGTTGAAACCGGCTTACATTCGCCCATGTTAAATTTTTCTATTAAGTTTTCAATATAACTTGTCTGTGACAACCTCATTTCTCCCCCTACATGGGTGAATTGTATGCCAAGGCAATGATGCAGCGAACCCATATCTCTTAATTGAAAAGCTTTTTGTAATTTCATTTTGACCTCTTTTAACAAATTTTCTGATTTATATGCCAGTATTAAATCATCCACATAAATGTTTGCTAATAGCTTTTCACCTTCTTTTTCTAAAATATATAAGCAAGGATCTGCTGTAGAGTTCTTGAATCCGATTTCCATCAATTTATTATGTAACTTCAAGAACCATTGTCGTCCTGCTTGTTTCAACCCATAAATAGCTTTATTTAATTTATATATCCCATTATTTTTATATCTATTTATATCTAATAGCATTTCTTTTGTTTTTCTTATTAATTCTTTATCTTTTCCATTTGTTATTATCATTTTTAAGTATTTATCCAAATTTTTCGGCATCTTCATGTAAATTTGTTGGTCTATATCGCCGTTTAAAAATGCAGTACACACATCTAGTTGGGATAACTTCATGTCATTTTCAATCGCATGTGCAATGAGTAGCCTAATAGTACTCATTTTTGCAATTTCTGATTAAATCCACGCGCTACAAGTCGTGCCTTTCGTCTATCTATTTTTCCTAGTGCATTATATTTATATTTCAAAATCATTTTATTATCTATTAAATTTTTGCTTTCGTTCTTGTGTACAACTGTCCAAGTATTGTTTTTAAGATGAGATTCTATCTCGTTTATTATTGCATCTTCCCATTCATCACTGTTTTCATCTATTTCACAGAGGAATGATTGCTCAGCATCCATCTCATAATCTTGATGCCATGCTGGTGGTTTTCTCTGTCTTTTTATACTATTAGTCGTTGCTTCGACTTCATTATCTGTACACATGTCATTATTTAGTTCGTCTATTTCTGTAGTTGCATCTAGGAATAATTCATCATTGTTAAATTCATGTTCTGACTCATTTCCTTCATTTTCAATTAACTTATCATTGTTTTCTTTATTATGTTTTTCTGGAAAAAATATAACTTCTATTTCCTTTTTATCAATTTCTTTTTGTTTTTCTTCTTCTTTCATCTCGTTCTCATAAAACATGTTATCTAATACTTTAACATCTCTGCTGATTATCACCTTGTCTGTTTTCGGGTTGAATATCCGGTACGCCTTATGATTTTCGGAATATCCGATGAAAATTCCACCTGTTGCTCTGGCTTTAAATTTTCCATTTTTCTTTCCTTTATTTAATACGAATGCTTTAGCCCCAAATATGTGAAAATGCCTCACAGATGGTACTTTCTTTATCCATTTTTCAAATGGAGTCGCATTATCAATGCTGCTGCAAGGACTTCAATTCGCCAAGTACTAATTGCTTCAGCCCAAAAATCTTCTTTCATATTAGCGTCTATCAGCATGCATCTAGCTTTATCAAGCAATGTTCTATTTTTTCTTTCTGCTAATCCATTTTGTTCTGGCGTATATGGTGCGGAAAGTCTCCTCTTGATACCTTTGTCTTTTAAGTAATTATCAAATCTTTGGTTTATATACTCTGTCCCATTATCACTTTGCAAATATATTATTTTATTTTTCGTAAATCGTTCAGCCTCTTTTTTAAATTCTATAAATTTTGATAGCGCTTCATCTTTAGTTTTCATTGTATATACTCGTGTATATCTCGAATTATCATCTGTGAATGTGATGAAATATTTTGAACCTCCCTTAGATGGCTGTTTCAAGGGACCACATACATCAGTATGTACAATTTAATACTTTCTTAGATTTACGCGAATGTTTGACATTTTTAAATAAAACTATCTTTTCGGATTATTTCGCGGATTTATTTTGATTTTTGGTTCCCGACGTTTAGGTTCCCGACGCAAGTTTTAAGTTGTTACGGACAGTGATTCGACAAAATCGTCGCGATCTACGCAGAAACGACCGGGACATTGAAGACGTCTAATATTGTTAAGACAGTATTGACACCATCTGATTTCAACGATTGCATTGACACTTTAAATAAGCGTGAAACAACCAAATATAATCAGTGCAAAATTAAACATATTTTAAAATATCAAAAACTCGTTGAAAAATTAAACATCAAAAAGAAAAAGAAAACCATAGAGTATAACGGAACGTGCCCGTCTACCACAGATACACACTCGTGCGGACCTCGGGTTGTCAATCTGTCAAAACAAACGTTAGACGAACCTACCATTCGGGTACTAAATAAAGGTTTGAATTTTGCTGTAACGCCTACGCGCATTCCTTATGAAAACATTATTTGCGCAGTTGAAGATGCCCTGGCCCAAAATATTATGAAAACTGAGGATATGGAGGCCATACGTCAAGATGTTTCGTCTTTATTACGTCGTAGTACTAGGCCCAAACCAAATCTCAATAAACAAGAGTATTTAGCGTTGAAGAACCTACGCAATAGGTCAGACATCACCGTTCTACGCGCAGACAAAGGAAACGCAACCGTTGTGATGGATACATCAGATTATAATGATAAAATAAAACAACTTTTGTCGGACGAGAGCACGTACAAAAAGGTTAAAACGGATCCAACTACCACCGTTTTAAATAATACTAAAAAGCTAATTAAGGAACACTCCGACACATTAAATCTTGATGTTAAAAATCTTATTCCATCATGTGCAAAACCACCTAAGTTGTATGGACTTCCGAAAATACACAAGACTAACGCTCCGCTACGTCCAATTGTGAGTCAAATCGACTCACCGACTTACAAATTAGCTAAACTAGTAGCAAAAGTACTCTCACCACTCAGAGGATTAACAAGAGCGTTCACAAAGGACTCTTACCATTTTGTCAATGAAGTTAAACACCTAAAACTCATGGACAATGAAACAATGGTTAGTTTCGATGTACAGTCTTTATTTACCAGCCTACCAGTGGAAGACTGTATTGAAATAATATCTAGGAAGCTACTAGATCACAACATGTCAATAGAATACATTGAACTCTTAAAACACTGCCTAACATCCGGCTATCTACTGTGGAATGGTGAATTCTACAGGCAAGTGGATGGAGTGGCCATGGGTTCGCCAGTCTCCCCCGTCGTAGCCGACATCTTCATGGAGGACTTCGAGGAGACTGCTCTGAACACATCACCCGTGACCCCTCGTTTCTACAAGCGGTATGTAGATGACACTTTTACAATATTACCTTCTGATAAAATAACTGTATTCTTAGAACACCTTAATTCTATAAATCCTAAAATTCAATTTACAATGGAATTAGAATCGGACAAAACCTTAGCTTTCCTAGATGTATTAGTTAAACGTAACCCAGATAACACCTTGAGTCATACTGTGTATAGAAAGAAGACCCATACTGATAGGTACCTGAACGGTGAATCTCACCACCATCCTTCACAGTTAGCTACCGTGGGAAAATCTCTGTTTCAGAGAGCGCGCGGGATCTGTGACGAGCAACACCTGGCCGGAGAACTGCAACATGTCAAGCAAGTTCTGCGTGACAACAAGCTGCAAGTGCCGCGCCTGCGTCACAGTGACCGAGTGAAACCAGCCACAGTCGAGCGCGTCCCTGCAGTCTTGCCATACATGAAAGGAGTCACTGACAAGATTGGCTACATTCTAAAGCGAGCTTCAATTAAAACTTACTTCAAGCCGCCAAAGAAAATTAGTCAGTTCTTACCACCTGTCAAGTGCCACATCCCTCTACAAGATGCAGGAGTCTACAAGCTTGATTGTGATTGTGGGCTCTCTTACATTGGACAAACAAAACGATCCATTAGAACCCGGGTCAAAGAACACATAGCTGATGTGAAGCACCGTCGCAATACAACATCTGCTGTCTGCAAACATAGCCAGGACCGCCCAAGCCATTATATTCGTTTCGATAGACCTCAAATCCTGGCAAAAGAAAACCGATATCGCCCTAGAATGATTCGAGAAGCCATAGAAATTAAAAAACATCCAAATTTCAATAGGGAAGATGGCTGGGTACTACCATCGTCATGGGATCCTGTTATTAATATAATAAAATCAAATAATAAATATAAACATAACAGACAGGCAGATGTAGTAAGTTCATACTGTGTAGATCAAAATGACAGCTTATCAGATTAATATTTTTCATTTGTAAAAGTATATATTAATAGTGTTGCTTAGTAAGTTGTTTTTAAATAATAGCAAACTAAATTAAAATGATTATCCGTAATTAATTTTAACTTTTTAAATTACACATAGAACAATTATATGGCTTTAATAATTAATACTATATTTTTATATTTTTTATTTATGGTTATAAATATAATAATGGCAACACTAAATATAGATTACTAATTAATATTTTTAAAATTGTAATAATTATAAAAATAATAGCAAAAATTAAATAAATAATTTTCCATATTCAATTATAATTAAAATTATAAAAAATGTTTAAAGTTAAAAATATTGTAATGTAATTGGTGCAATTTTCATTTTGTTAATTGTGGGTAGGCTGTCTGTAACAACTATATCTTTAAGACATGTAACACCTCAGTCTCTCCCGTGACCATGGATGCTGTAAAGCATTCGAAACGTCGGGAACCAAAAATCAAAATAAATCCGCGAAATAATCCGAAAAGATAGTTTTATTTAAATATGTACAATTTCTAATCTATGATTTGTCCGTTGCTCATTTTTACATGTATTAACACGTTCGCTGCATTACGAGATCTATCAGATCTCTTGCAGGACTTTTGTACTGTGCGTTGACTATAATCGTGTTGTTTCACTCCTTGCGGGAGGCTCTAACGTGTAAAGTTCTTTAAGTATGAGTAAGACAAATATACATATTTGCTTCCTACTTAAAGGTGAATTCGAGGACATAAAAAAAATAAATAGAGATGGATTAGGTCCCTAACGCACAGTAGTATAATTATTTGTATTCCTTGCGTTAGGAGACATGTCGATACTCGTGGAATCGTACGCCTCGTAGACGCAAGAAAGGGAGGTTAGGGGGCGCGGGCGCTGTGTGAATCGATTTAGTGTTGTCCTAGTGTCGACGTGGGAGGTTGCGCGCACGTTTCGAAAAAGTGTAAAAAAAATTTTATTTAATATATTTTATTTAATAAAATTGTTTTATTTTGGTGAGATTTCTAAGAATGAAAAATCAACGCTGGATTATAGTGCTGCATCGTCCAGTATAATTACAATTTTGGAAAATATAATGCTTTTTATTACAGAATTCCCCGAAGGAAGATGTACAGATCATGTTTTCCAACGTGGCGACAAAAAAAGACGTTGTGTGGGTTGTTATGAAAAATTACTACGCACATTAAACAGCACTGACGCTTCTAAAAAAAGCTGAAAAAATACCATTTGCGCGCAATGCAAATAATCAATGTGCTTACTATGTTTTAATGAAAAACACTTTGCGTAGTTTATAAATAAACTTATTTAATAAAACTTTTTCAATCGACAACTGAGATATTATTTTATTCCCATCACTACTTACTACACATATTGAACTATCTTCGGTTGCGGTACGAGATACAATCGATATCTAATTTTTTTTTGGTATTTGTAGCTTATTCTAATGTCATAACTGCGTGCGAACCTAGCAAAATGTAGAGCAATAGGCTCTCTTGACCCACAAAAACTTTAAAATATATGTCATTAGTTTTTTGGAAGATATAAATTATTTTCAAAACTGTATTTTTAGGAGACTGATTAGGTCTCTAACGCACCAAAGGGTAGGCTAGTTTCGAGATCTTTTAGGTCTCCAAAGCACCAGCTGAAATTTCTTTCAAAATGATGACGCAGTGAACGTGTTAAACGGCAGTTATCTTGCCTTACCTTTAGCACAGACTACACAATCTATAACTGTATCAGATTTATTAAATTCTAAGCCTTCCATACTTTTCTATCAAGAGCTATTCTCATTTGCCTCTCATTAAGGTGTGCTAGTTTTCTATGCCATAGTTGCATTTTATTTGTTTCACAATAGTTGGATTTCTCGTCTAAATTTTCTTTAACGTAGTATAAACCATCTTCATTTCTTTCTGCTTTTAACAGAACTTGTCCATTTCGCATAACGGTTGCTTGTTGCTTCTTAAATAAAACTGTTGCACCTTTATCTGTCATTTTTCCTACTGACATAAGATTTGTAGTCAGCGACGATACATACAAGGCTTCAGTCAGTTGTAGACCAGGTATTTCCTTTATGTTCAGTTTCACTGAACCTCGACCTTCAATTTGTGCTGTACAGTTCTCTGAAGCTAACCTTATAGTTTTATAGTCTTCTTTTTCTACATTATGGAATCTTTCCAATTCATGACTCATGTGACGTGCGTCCACTATCAAGACACCATTTTCTGGCTTTTTCTTTATTATTATTAGCATTTAGACATGTTTCTTAAGACATAGAATAATTCGCACTGCTTTTAGTTTTGTTCACTTTTGACCAGCATTCATTCGCTTTATGCCCCTTTTTATGACATTTGTAGCATTCAGTAATATATTTCTTATTTTTTCTTTGCTGCTTGCTGTACAGTACCTCTTGTTCTGAGTTCCCATCAGTTGTAGTAGCCATATTTTTTCGTGCTTCAGCTTCCTCAATGATTTTTATTTTCAGGCTATCTGGATTTGGTAAATCATCTCTAGATTCTATGGCTATGCGAAAATTTTCAAAAGATTGTGGTAAACTATATAGCAGCATTATACTTAATAAATCTTTATTAATTATTATATCCATGTCGGCTAGTTTATCGACAATATCCATAAATTTGTTTATATGATCAACTATGCTGTCATCGTCTTTCATTTTTCTTAATATCAACTCTTTTAACAGGGTTGCTTTTCTAGCGGGACCTTTACTATTATATATATTTTCAAGCGTATCCCAGACTTCTTTACTTGTTTGACAATTTTTTACTTGTTTTAGTTCGCTTGGAGATATTTATTATAAAAAATAATTCAGCTAATGCTAACCCATCTTTTTCTATATATTTGCTCAGTTCGTCGCCTTCGCTTATTAGCTTCTTAATTTTATTAGAAACATAGTTCCAAAGACCAAGTTTCAACAACAGAGCTTTTGCATGAATTCTCCATGTATCGTAATTTTCTCTTTTTAATGGCTCTATGTGCACATGATGGCTCATCTTTCTCTTTTTCAATATACGATTTCTCGCGTTTACGTGCTGCCCATAACCTTTTAAAGAGAGTAGTTTTATCGCAGTGGAGTTATCTTTAATAAAATCCCTTTTAAATAAGCATAGTTTTATTTATTTCAATTTACAATTTATTAACACAACCTGACACATTTATTTTTTACCGACATCTGTCTAAATTATATTCTTATATTTAAATTTTATTGCAAGACAGTATTCTCTATGACACTAAGGGTCTTAGAGGTACTCAATTACATATTAGCCATGTTTAGCTTCGGATAAAGTGAATTGAGTCTATGTACGAATAAATAACCATTTTCATGGCTTTCAATTTAAAAAAATTTATAGTCACATAGTCACTCATTTTACAGGTAAGTAATCTACTAAAATATTTAATTTTTAAAAGTAAATATCATGTCTTAATAAAATGCTTTTGTTTATAATAAAATCATATAATTTACTGAAATATTACCTATATTTCAGTAGGTATACTGGCAGTTTTATTTATTCCAATATTTTAAAAAAAAGTAGGTACCTATTATTTCAGAGGAACTAACTTGCGTCTGCATAATAAAAGAGACTACCTAATATAATTTACAAAAAACATTAAATAAAACATCATTTAAAAATATTAGTCAATATTATTTTACTTTAACGACAGCTTTCCCGGTGTTTTCACCTTTTAATATCCCAACTAACGCCTCTACCATATTATTGAAACCATAGTATACTTTTTCTTTATAACTTAACTTCCCTTCGTTTAACCACTTCAAATTTTCATTTATGCCCTCTTGCCAGCGATTTGTCCATCGATGTACTAAAAATCCTTCAACTTTGAGTTCCTTAAAAACAATAGCCGGTTGCACAATCGAAACTTTAGGTAACGTAACGTCATTGTATGATGAAATAGAACCACATACAGCGACTCTTCCAAACTTGTTCATATAATTCATTATTGTCGTACTTATTTCACCTCCCACCTATAGCAAAATAATAAAATATATATTATTTTGTAAGATATTAACTTTGATAAATTACGGATGGCGTACAGATGTGATTGATACAATTCTATGAGTGTAAATTTAAATGAATAGAGATAGTAATAATTATATAAGAAATTAAAAAAATGCAGAATGAAATCTGTCTCATTATTACTACTACTACCTTCACTACGCAGGCATATTCTATATTATATACATATTTCTAACATATGCAAATTGCACACCCTTACTATATACATTTTTTTATAAACAGGAACAGCAAACCATTGTTTGGAATTAAAGTGCCTACTCACTGTTTAATTTCATATTCAATCTATTCAGATAGATTTGTTGAAGCCAAATTCAAATTTTATTTCGATAGCATAAGCAGTAGGTATTGCAAGCCCGTGTCAAGAGTACCATGATTCTTTTATAATAGCAAAAACCAGAATCAGTAAATATATAAACCAAAAGACAAGAATAATCAAGAACATCAGGTGAAACTGTGCCTATGTTTACGAAAAAAATGTAATAAGAAAGAAACTAATGATTTATCACAGAATAAGTGAAATCGTAACTCGAGTACGATGAGCTTCAATAAATTGATTTGACAGATTGGGAATAAAATTGATCAGTTAATCCATACTAATATCATAAATGTGAAAGTGTGTTTGTTTGTTTGTCTTTCTTTCACGTCGAAACGGCTTGGCCGATTTTTTGTGTGGAGTTAGTTGGAGGGCTGGAAAGTGACATAGGCTACTTTTTACCGCGGGACATTATCTTATTCCCACGGAAAAACACGTTATAATACAATCCAAAAAAATATTTATGATCAGAATTACTTGAAACTTGACATTATTGCTCTACAATAAAATTAAAAAAATACGTGTTTTAGCATTTTTCGAAATTCATTCTATAAGGGGGTAAAATAGGAAATGAAAGTTTGTAAGAAATTACCTTTTTAGATAGTTTTAACGCGAGCGAAGCCGCGGATTCTGCTAGTAATAATATAACCTTTATTACTTTATACGTACACCAGCATTGCCCGCGGCTCTGCCCGCGTTCAGATGACCAAAATCTAAATTCTTAGGTTTTAGATATTAGTATACTCTTACATTGCTGTTTTTGTATTTTTTCTCAAAAATGAGATATTTTCCCGCGGTAAATAAAATCCTATATGTTGACACGGATAACCAGCTATCACCATACCAAATTTTATCAAAATCCCTCTAGTGGTTTTTCTGTGATGCGGTAACAGACAGACGGACAGACAAAAATTCTAAAAACTGTAGATTCGGCCTCTGTATCGATAATAATTTTATTTCAATAAGATTTTCCAAAAAATATTTAATGTACAGATTCAGTATAGTTACAATTTTATTATATATACGTACATTGTCAAAATAACAGTCTACATAATTTGGAGCGCCTTTTTTTAGGGCATCTTTTATGTTGCATGTTTTGTAATTGAAAGCATGGTCAAATCCTAATTCTTTCTCCAAGTAACGACATTTTTCGTCGGTCCCAGCAAAGCCTACAACGCGACAACCTATAAATAGAAAAAAAACTTAAATTAAAATTTATATTTCATAAAATTTTACATTCCATTAATATAACTGAATGTACGGTATCTCGTAGATAACAGATATCCAGACTCTTTACTACTTTATTACCGGTGGTCAACAGATTCTCCATCTGCAAGTACCTAACTTGTGTCTCATACAATATATGTAAAGTTTAAGCCACGCACTCAAAACACCACCTAGGGAAATGTAATAATGTAATCGTGGTTCATGTTGTCTATTATAGTTTTATAAAAATAAATGTTTATAGCAGCAAAGACAAATATGATCATACTAAAATATTAGTAAGTAATACAAGCGATTAAACATAGGTAAATGGTTATTTGTATATGAACATAATAATTATTAACTTTAAGACATATGTTTATGACATGAGACACTATCAGCGCTGGATTTACACTAAGGGCACTTGGGGCTAGTGTCCAGAGCGGGAAATTTTCAGAGGCGGCAAAATTCTTCTCCTTCGTTTTTTTATTTTCCAAAAAATTGAATTATTAAAATAAACTATTTTTTGCATTTATCAAAAATTAAAAAAAATGAACTTGATCGAAACTTTATCCATTTTATGCTAAGTTTCGATAATGGGGCGGCATTTCTTACATTACCCAGGGGCAGCGCTAAGGTTGAATCCGGCACTGAACACGATAACAGTAATAACATTACCTAGAATTTTTCCAATTTGCCCAACATGTGACCCGACAGCCCCAGCAGCTCCAGTGATAACAATAGTTTCTCCAGATTTTGGCTTGCAAATTTCTTTTAGACCGAAGAACGCTGTATTACTAAAATTAAAGCATATAATCAAAGTTATTCATACAAATTATGGCTTAAGAGTAGGAAGACCCACATATAAAAATTACTCACCCAGGCATACCAAGGATACCCAGTGCTAACGATACTGGATGCGGCTTGATATCTGGCAAGACTGTTAAAGGTAGAAAATTTGAAGGATCGACTTTGTTAACATTGACTATTGTATGTGTTCGCCATCCAAGCATACCCGTCACATAACTACCTACACGAATATTCTTATCACGACTTGCAATAACCCTGCAAAGATATTCTATTAATTGTAGTCTTGTTTTCTAATAAATCTTTTTTTTTAAATACATACTTTGCCACCTGTCCACCAATCATTTGAGTGGGCAACCTATACCCAATCATGTATGCTCGCATATACGGATCGACACTAAGGTATTCTGCTTCAGTCAATATTTCTAAAAATAGTTCCGAAAATATTAGAATAAAATAAATGAAAAAAATGTTAATGATTTAATAAAAAAAAATTATTAAATTAAAACCGTAATAGGTACTGATGAAACTAAATACGAATCTTACAGCTACTTATAAATATTTATATTTTTACTATTTAATGTTTACACTAGAATCACTTAAGCTGCGTGTATTTTATTATATTATACAAAATGCAATTAATAAAGTTAATATTTAATAAGACATCTACAATATTTTGAGAAAGTTGTAGAATCCATTTTAATATTATAAATTTGAAAGTGTGCTTGTTTGTTTGTCCTTCTTTCACATCGAAATAGAGTGACGAATTGGCGTGATTTTTTGTGTGGATACATTTGGGGGGCTGGAGAGTAACATAAGCTACTTTTTATCGCGGGAGATTATCTCATTCCCACGGGAAAACACATTATAATACAACCCAAAAAATATTTATGATCAGAATTACTTGAAACTTGGTATTAATGCTCTTCAATACAATTAAATACATACGTGTTGTATCATTTTTCGAAATTCATCCCTTATGGGGGTAAAATAGGGAATTAAAGTTTATATGATATCTATATGATATATGAAACCTACTTTTTTAGTTTTTTTGTAGTTTTAGCGCGAGCGAACTCGTCTTTTATAAATTATATGCGTAGATGCCTATTCATTGCTATTTTAAGATAACTTATATACCTGAGTGACCTACGGGAAATTTTTACCCATCAAAAGGTATTTCATAGAAAAATGGGGAAGGGGCTAGGACTTTACCATAGTAATGTATATTTTGTTTTACATCATCAGAAAGCAGAGATTTCAACAAACAAAAAGCCCACCAACTTATTTTTAAAAGCAGATATTTTGACGTGAGAATTTTCGATTGAAAATAAGGGTACTTTTTCGATATTAAGTCAAAATAAGGTGAAAAATTAAATACTATAAATCAAAAAAATTACAGCGTGCTTGGGACATAAAAAGGTAAGTTTTCACCAAATTTCGTGATTTTTTTTTGTAAAAGAAAAATAAAAAAGCAAAAACTTGGTTATTTGAATTTTTCACATAAATTTTGAGGTTATGTGAAAAAAGTGTAAATACAAAAGTTGTAGATCTTTTTATTACCTACAACTTTGCTATTTACCTTTTTTCCATAGGACTTGTAGTTTTGCCGGAAATCGAGATAAACCGTTTTTTACCCTTAAAAATTCACCCCCTCCCACTTCCCGACCTCAGATCTCCCGTAAATTATTTTTCCTTTCGTTTTTGCTATATTCTCTTCCTTTTCCAACGAGTTTCATCCTACGATTATTATTTTTTTGTTTCAAAAATTATCGACCCTGGTCTAATAAGTTAACATACTGGGAGAATATTTTTATAAACTAGCAATACTACAAAATGTTAATTCTTGTTGTTCTTGGTCTATGATGTTAATTCATAAAATAATACTATGTTGAATTTTCATACTTGTAAGCTTATTTTCAGGTTTATAAACTAATACTCACCCCCATCTTTAAGTTCAGGTAGTTCTTCTTCTACTATTTTAAAATCACTCTTTTTTGGTTCTCCTTGAAAATATTTTGTAAGTACATACTTTTGTGCTCGTATTTTGTTAGGAACGCCCGAACAAAAACGTTTTGCAATAAACGTGGTCGAAAATAGGTTTGCCATAACAAATCACTTTAAATAATAATTAAAAAGAGAAACTGATTGATAACTGATTAATGGTTATTAATTTGTTATAAAGTATAGAGTCATTGGACTTTACACTTACACTTGATATAGGTATACATAAAAGAAAAGATTCAAGGTTATAATTTTTTTAACTTTTTAACAAAGACTATTAAAAGTAGACAATAATGGTTGAAGTTTATAAAAATCTATATAACTAGTAGGAATCGTGTGAAATAAAAAGAACATATTACTCAAAATAAATAAATTTTATTCAAGAATTAAAGTTTGTTAAAGTTATTTATATCAAAAATTTAAATATGTACTAGGTATGTACTGATTATATCTACAAGGGTAATAACTAGGTCGATATCATATTTTTATCATTGTCGTAAACATTAACAATGTTGTTCTTAAATTATATATATATATATATATATATATATATATATATATATATATAATCTGAATCTCGGAAACGGCTCCAACGATTTTCATGAAATTTAGTAGAAAGGGGGTTTCGGAGCGATAAATCGATCTAGATTAATCTTATATCTGAGAAAACGCGTGTTATCGAGTTTTTATGCAGTTTTCTTTTGCATTATTCCACGCAAAATATGGTCGGTAATTTGCTCGCTCGGGCATAAGCATCGTGGTCAAGCGGCCAAGGGGCACGATCAACAATCACAGGTGTCCAGGTTCGAATCATACAAAGTTTTTACTTTTGTTTTTTTTTAATATTTTTTCAAGTTTTTGTTTAAAAAAAAGACAATAGTAATATTTGTAGGCAAAAACTCCGAGCGAAGCTCGGTAGCCCAGGTACTGTGATTTTTATTAAAATTATAATAAAGAAAATTACATTTTTTGTTTAAATTTGGAGCAATTTGGGCTAAGAATATTTATATTCTTCCGGTTGTGTTCGTTAATTCTTTTAGAACAAAAATTTGTCTATTTTTGGGTTCACCGAGATTCAGAAAATATTTTTTTTATTTTTGTTTAAACGAAACCTGGCAGGACAGCTGCCTATCGGTTAATCGGGTTCGCTAGTTACTAAATAGCGGATCCGGTTACCGGTACACAGTAGTCCTGACTCCTGAATATTATAAATATGTGACACAACATATCCACTTCAAAATTACCTTTTTTTTATTTTTCTTCAGGTTTACTATAGCATCCCCCCCAACATGTGTTCACCTTGTCGTAGTGGGGGGGGGGGGCTCAGTAGAGTGCCCGTTAATCCAGCCGGGCGCAAAGCCAAGAAACGCACAAGGAGGTGGCCCATTTCGGTGAGCAGTGGGAGGTGGCCCTCTTCGGTAGGCGGTGTACCATGCGGGTTGCTCCTGGTACTTCTCTGATAGCAGAGTGGATCTTGGAACAACCCCATGGTTGTTGTGGTCTGCTTCGGCAGACCTGCCGTCGGGGCGTCGTAGTTGAATGCGTAAGCGATCCTGCGACGCCCCATTAAGACGGAGGAAGGTTTTGTTGGGTTTTAGTGGGTAGTACTGGTTTTGCCGGTGAGTCCCACACCTCGTGCGTAAATAAATACAGTTCCCAAGGTAAAAAAAAGGTTTACTATAGCATTGTAATTAAGATTATATTATTACCTCGGACTTACTGACACCACTCTGTTTATGTCAATTTAAATTTTATCGACAGTATTTGGAACAACAAAATATAATATCTTGCCTTAAAATAAATTGGCTAACTTAGAATGAACATTTGGGAATTTTAATAAATTGATTTATTGAAAAAATTATAAGTGATATAAATATAGGTTATAATATAATAGCTATGTGAAAAATAATATTGAAAGGTCGTTATTAAATGTGGTCTAAACTTAATACTGAGACATCGTCTTATCCGGAACTATTTTTACAAATCCTTCGAAACCGAAAGTTACATAATTTTTCATGTAAGACATGTTTTTTAATTTATTATATTTTTTATTAAACAGTATACTTAGTCTATTGTTCTATAAAAAATACTTTATAGTTTATATACCTCGTCAACAGGCTAAGTAGAGAGAAGTCTCGAGTACATTAGAGAATTAGCTAAGGTCTACTAAGGGTAGAAATATTCGTAGCTTAGAGAAGCTACGTACATATATTTTACCCTTTGTTTGTAGCGACGTCCGTGTCGGATTCGAAATCCAGTAAAATATCCTTTTCACACTTGTGTACATGTTTCCGTAAAGACGTAAACATTACCATGAAAATGATGTTAGGTAGCTGTATGTTTTTATTATACTAGCGACTCACCCTCGCTTCGCTCGGGTTTGTCCCTAGATTGATTCCCCATACCAACTTTCATCCCCATTTTCACCCCTTTAAGAGATGATTTCCGGGATAAATTCTATGTCTTTCCCAGGGTCTCAAGCTATCTTCTTACCAAATTTCATCTAAATCGGTTCTGAAGATCCAGAGATTACCCCCTACAACGTCACAAACGGACAATTCACTAACTCACAAACTTTATCTCTTTATAATATTAGTATAGATTATCTTTTATTTCTAGTAGTAGCCTGTAACTCCATTCTATCAATGTAAATTGTATAATCTGTGACCTGTGTTGATATTGGCAATATTCAACAATTATGAACCTACCCTACCCCAGCCTGCAAATTTATGATATTTGCAATGAAAAAAATACTAATCGATAGATTTTCAATAGCTCAATTTAACTACGTAGCCCTTTCAAATTGCTCACCTTTAATTATTTAATTAAAAATCAATAAAGTCTTTGAAAAAAAATTAATTTATCTGTATATTCAAACTCCTATATCTTTTGATGTATACAATATTTCAAATTGCTCAAAGTTCTAAAACACTGCTCAAGTTGCATTTGTAATTGCTCAAGTAGAGTTTTTACCAGTTCCACTTTCGCTGATTATTAAATAATTAAAAGTATAGTTGTAATAAATGTAACGTAGGTTAAGTGAGCGTGCGCATGCGCACCGCGCATTGTCGGTCGGCCTCGGCGGGCTTGGACAATCGTTCCAATTCAACGTCTTAATTCTGTTTCTCGGTGGATTTCTTTAAATTTATTGAATTTATGAATTGTTCACATTACGTGATTCCACTTCAGATATTATAACATAAAGAACAGATCTGGAATCTACCAATAAATGAAAATTAATACCAACAGATAAATTAAGACAAAATCTTATGTTCAAATGCTTATTCTATTAAGGTAATAGCCATGACAGGGATCATTAGTAAAATGTTATTAACATCAATACAAGACGGAACTTTTTTTATTTTTAAATATACAAATTTAAATTTTATTTAAATCTATTTTTCTTAAATCTAAATTTTCAAAACCGACTAGAATTGATTTCAACAAATTAGTTTCGTTTGCAATGCGCAAAATACCTGAACACGTGAAAATCATGCCCTATAAAAATGCCTGATAATAGATGATGTTGTGCTTGGAGTATTACAGTTTCATTTCACTATGATGAGGTTATGAAACACTTGATTTTTTTGCCTTGCGACTCGCGTTACTGTTTGCGCGCATGCGCAGCACTCACCTATCTATACGTTAAATTTATTCAAACTATTTATATTTATTTAATAATTAAGGAAAGTGGAGCTGGTGAGAACTCTACTTGAGCAATTACAAATGCAACTTGAGCAGTATTTTAGAACTTTGAGCAATTTAAAATATTGTATATATCAAAAGATATAGAAATTTGAATATACGGATAAATGAATTTTTTTTCAAGGACTTTATTGATTTTTAATTTTATAATTAATGGTGAGCAATTTGGAAGGGCTACGTAGTTGAATTGAGCTATTAAAAATCTATCAATTAGTATTTTTTTCATTGCGAATATCATAAATTTGCAGGCTGGGGTAGGGTAGGTCAATTATGATATCATTTACTGCATTTTCAAAGACTAAAATAAATTATAGAAGTCTTCTTAATCTGTGATAGAATATTTAGTTTGTGGTGTAGTAAACTGAGCAAAGCAATATTAAATATGGCTTTTATTCGGTATTTATTTGTATTTAAATCTAGTAATTGTACGTAAATGAGATTTTACGTTATTCGATTTATCTAATCCAAGTTACGTAAAGTTAGTAAAGTTTACTTACGGTTGTAAGTAATGTAATTTATAAATATAAAACAAGAAATGGACAATTTATAGTGGTTATTGTCAAAATATACAAACGCTGCTTTTGGTGTTTATAACTTATTTAAAATCTAGTGTATTCATGATGACAACCGAACAAAAATTCGACTGCGTGTTCTGTAAAGAAAATTTTGACGATAAGGAAGCTTTACAAATTCATTTTAGGTAACATTTTTGTTTTATGACTACTGTTTATTTTCCAATATCAACTGTTGTACTCATTATAAATGTAATTTTAGAAAACACGGTGATCCTAATTTTAATCCATCGACAAAAAATGTTACAAATGAGAAGTCGACAGATGAAGACGAAACAGTTGGTTGTGATGTTTGTGATGAAGTGTTTCCTACAATCCCGAAAGCTATAACACACAAGCACAAAACTCATCCATATCATGATGCTAAGTATTTCTGTCCTTTTTGTGGAAAGATGTTCACAATGAAGGTAAATCTTATATCAAAGGACATGTCAATAATTACCTGCTCATGATTTTCTTTAAATAAATGTATTTTTTGCCAAACAATAACTAACAAATGATTCTAAATTTTAGCATCTTTATAACAAACATATACAGTCAAATCATGAATTTGATGAAGCCTCTGATACGAAGGATTTCCATTGTGATTTTTGTAAAGTAGCTTTTTATGTGCCATCTGCTATGATGTATCATAATAAGTTTTTTCATCGTCAAGACACTGAATTACCAGCCATGGGACAGTCAAAAAAAGTGAAAATCTATAATCAGGTATTGTCTTACTGGTGAGAATTTAAGTAATTATTTCAAATTGTGTATTATACCATTTCTTTTCGATTTGTGTAGTGATATTGATAATATTTTGTTATATAACATGCATAGCATAATAACAATATGTATAACCAGTTCCAATATTATCAAGACTATGAGAAATAATATTTAATATTATTATTATGAATATTTATAATTGCCTATATTCATATTCTATTTTTAAGAATTCTTAATATATTTTTCTTCTTAAAACTTGAGTTACCTGATTTATATTCCAAGTTTTGAAATATAGGTATAAGTAGAGTTTTCATTGATAATTTTCTTTGAATATATCATTTATTTATTTATTTTTTTGTTTTAGGAAATGTTTCAGATTTATTATTGCTCTTTTTGTGGAGAAGAATATAATAATAAAGTGAATTTACATGTAAGTGGTACTACTCATTGAGAAAATACTACCATTAGAATAAAAATATTATAATTGAAACAATCTCTGTAGAAACAGAAATATTATTTTACAGAAATAAATAAATTTCTCTTTGAAAAATGACTAAAAATTTAGTAAACTTAAATTATTTGATTATAATTATTTATTTTAGAAACACATAAGTGATGATCATGGGGATGAGAATCATTGTCCAATTGAGATATTGAGATGTCCTCTATGTGAAGCCATTTTCTTCCACTTAGATGCTTATGAAGTTCATCTTATGTTCCACTCTACAGAAGATTTATACAGTGAGAAAAATGAAATGTAAGTTTATTAGTAGTTTAGAAGTCATATAAAATTTTAAAACTGTTTTTAAAAAAAAACACTTAATTTATAATGACAAAAATCCTAAAAAAGTTGTTTTCATTGATTACTTGTTACTATAGTAATTTGTTTCCATAAGAATTGACACAATTTTTTGCACTATAATGTCATATATAAAAACAATATAATTATAATGTAAAATATCATTTAGCAAAATAGATTACTTTGATACTTTCCAGAAAATAAACTAGTATCTATGATTTAAAAATATATGTATAAGTTGGTAGTGGATGCACATTGTTTTTAGTTCATATTTTGCAAATTATTGCTTTTAACTCTTATTATTTTTCTTAATAAATATGGTAAAATAAGTACATATAATACTTAAGCATTAAATTCAATTATTTTGTTTATGCAGAGCTGAAAAAGTGAACGAGTTTTCACTTGAAACAGTAGCACCAATTACAGAGAAAGTTGAAGAAGATGTCCCGGATCATCCTATAGATGGCATTGTAAGAAAAATATTTGCCATTTGTTTGTTTCTTATAATTTAAAAATATTAGTACCACAAGTACAAATTATTGTTGAAATAAAGACTTATTTAATATTTAACATCTTTAATATTATCTATTTACAGGATAATTTTCTTCAATTAGTCATGAGTGAATCTGCAGATAATGCTCCTGAAAAAGTTAAATCCAAGAAGCACAAAAAACATAAGAAATCAAAAAAGGCAGCAATAACACTTGATGAATTTTTGAATATGAATAAAGATGTTTTTGGAGATGGCCTTGATGTTCAGGGAATAGAAGAAGTTCCAACGCAAGTCGTTTTAAAAAAAGCTAAAGGTAAAAAGTTGTCTATAAAAGGTCAATCTAAAATTGTAAATGCAGATTTAGCAAAGTTACAAAAACATGGCATAACAGTTAAAACAAAATCTGGAGCCAGACCAGGGGTTGCTAATGTTAAAAATAATACAGAAAATGTTCAAGTTAACAAAACTAATGTCACAAATTGTCCCAATGAAATATTATCTAAGTTACTAAATGAAGGAAATAGCCAAATAAAAATTGTTAAAAAATCTATATCGCAAAATGATCCCAAAAATGATGATCATGACACATCCAATAATAATACTGATACTATTGATAGATTAAGTAAAGATAATAAAGGAGAAAATACTCTAAGTGACAAGGAAGATGTTCAAAATCCCGTAAAGGAAAATTTGTACAACATTAGTAGTGATACAGCAAATAACATACAAGCAGATAGTGAAATTATTAATAAAGCTTCAACTTTTTTCAAAAGCGTTAATAATGAGATTTCTGTTGAGAATAATACACAAAGCACAGATAATGATAATACTAATTCTGAAAAAGCCAGACCTTTCATTGCTCTACCTGACCGCAAAACGTCAACACCGACGGATGAGAATAGTACAAAGAAATCAGATACATTCTTACCCAGTTCAAGTACAGTTATATCCGGTAAAAGTGTAAATGAAACGAAGCGCAATGTACTAGTTGACTATCAAATAGCAGATAACGATGAAACACCTCAGCCTGATATGGATACTGAAGACCATACTAAAAACCTGAATGAAAATGATGCTGATAATAATATTGCCAACAAAACGTTAAATGCTCTTAAACATTTAAGTCATCTTATAACAGTAAAGCCTTTAAATCAACCCAAAAGTCCAACATTAGGTGGTATAAATAGTGACAAAGTTAATAACGAAAATGAATCTAGAGAAAGAGTTAAAGAAGATATTCATAATGCATCTATATCTCAACACCTTTCTTCTAATGAACAAAAATTATGCAAAAATGTTAAAATGATAAATAATCAAATAACAATAAAACCTTCAAAAACATCTTCAGAACATACACAATCTGACTTTGATAGTGATGGTGAATTTAATGATTACGATGAATGTAATCTTAGTGCAGAATTTGAAGAGCTGGACGAAATAAATAGTCCCAATAATAATGTTAAAAGGGTCAAATTAAAAATTAAAAACTTGCCCATTAGTCAAAGTAAACAAATAATAAAAAATGACTGTAATGAAATTGTAAATAATGAAACAGAGCATGAGGACGAATTCCAAAGTGAGGAAAATACCAACAAAGGAGCATCATCATCTTCTAATATTGATATTTTAAAGCGTCTTACGAATGTCACAGCTAAATCTATTCCTTCCGTTAAAAACATTAATAAACCAACTAACATTAAAATTGCTAGACCTATCATTAATCAAGTAAAAGAAACATTGCCAAAAAATGTATATAAAACTCATACAGAAGTAGAAATTTATAATATTGATGATTCTGATAGTGATGGAGATCATAAATTAGAAATTAAGCAATCTAATCAGACTATAGAAGCATTGCGTAGTTTAGGTAAAAATATTACAATTAAATCCAATCAGCAGAATATAAAAGAAGAAGTAAAAGATAAAAAAATCATAAATAAAAGTACAAGATCAGATAATATGAGCAATGGAAGCCATTTTAAATTTAGCAAACATTCACCAGACATTCAGAAAAGTATAAATCTTCAAAATAAACTAAAAAGCTTAGGCGGCAATATTACTGTAAAATCAAGGAATTCCCCAAATCTAACAAATAAGGAACAGTTTAACTTTGATGAGTTTGATGATGAAGATGAAGCGATTGATAGTGAGCCAGAATCAAATGTAGCTAAAATAAAAATTACTGAAGTAACTGAAGATGATGTCAGCGATAATGAGTGCCCGGACAGTAGAACAGACGCGATAGTTGAATCCCCTCACGCATCTAATAGTGAAAATGAGGACAATCATAATGACACTGACGAAGAATTTGCCGATTTAGAAAATGAGATAAAAAAATCGATATTGAAAAAACAGGAGGAACCTACAACTTCGAAAAAACCTCCATGTTTAGAAAACTTTAAGCATTTAAATAATTTAACAATAAAGTCATTAAAAACAAAGAAAAATGACTCTACAGAAGAATCAAATGTTCCATTACAAAAGGAAGCATCTGAAGACACCCATAACTTTAATAAACAAATTGCTATTAAACAGTTAAAGAATAATATACCACAGAATGGGCAAGCTATAAATAAAACTAACCAAAGCAGTACTTCAATTAATCAAACAGTTAATAAAAATGTTAGCTCTTCTTTGAATCAAGTAAATACTGTGAAAACTGTAAAAAAGTTTCAGTCTCAAACTGTTATAGAAGAGATTACGACAACTGTTACCAAAACTATACGAACAATGAACCAGTCCAGTAACGAAGTGGTGCAAAGTAATGTTCGACCTGGCCCTAGATCAATGATAAGGCCACAAAAAATGTTCAATAGACCACAAGGACCTATCAGGCACACGTCACCCACTGTTGGGACTAGAATAAGGAACGCAACTCCTATTAGACACGCTACTCCCTCTACAGTTAAACCTACAAACCAACTGGTCCCTGTACGCGCAGTTTTAAATATTCAAAAAGGTCCAGTTTTCAATACCGGAGTGCGTAAAATTGCACCTCCTAAAAGTAGTCCCCAGAAACCTGTAGTAGGAAAATTAAAAATGTCTCCTCACGCGTTAAATCAAGCAACTAAGAGGCCTATGGACGAAGCATCTGGACATTTTAGCTGTTTCAAGAAACCAAAAGAATCTCCAATGACTTCAATGGATATGGCAGACTCTTTCGATGATACAGTACAGTATGCGTCGGCCACTCACAGTCAATCCAATTTTTCCAGTGTAACTAAAACTGTGAAAGGTAAAGGTATGGTGACGGCGACACAAGTACGCTCGGAAGTTAGCACAAGCTCACAGCAACAGCTCAGTAAGTTAAGTAATATGTCAGGACTTAAAATTGCAAAAATGAGTTCAAAACAAACTATGCAAGTTGAAGAGAAAAATATTAGTACAGCAACAAAGAACACTCTAGATGCTCTTGAAAAATTACAGAAACAGGGACTATTAGTAAAAAAACCACGAATCGACGAATATAATGACAAATCTCAAAGTGAAAGTGACGATGATCCAAGTTAGAAATGACCATACAATGTCTATTTACGTACATTTTCTCTGAAGGCTTGGAAGTTGATATTTAGATTGAAACCGAGAAATTTGTAAAATGTTTTTTTTCTGAACTAAGGCTTAATATAAGAAACGTTTAGTGATGTACCTATAATTATTAGGGGCTCGAATATTTAATATTTAGATGAATATCGTTCCTTTATTTTAATTTTGACTGATGTTCAATGTAAATATGCTTTGATGTAAGCCATAATCATATGTATGTTCTACGTTTCGGGGTATTTAACCTCCACATATACAATTAGAGATAAGAGCCATTAGTATAAGTGCATATGTAAATACATATAGTGAAAGTAAATGATGTATAATATATATACATTAAGCAAATATTGATGCATTGTTAAAGATTTTCATTAGAAGATTGTTCCTAAGTTATTTATAATTTCATTTTATTTAATAATTACAATTTCTAAAAAGATTAAATACTAAAGGTATCAGATGTGAATAATAAAAAGTTTTCGATTATGATTGTTTAATATAATAAACTATATTTACATCCACATTTTACATAACATTAATACCCACTGTCCAAATACTTGAATACCAAAATATATTAAATAAATTTAATGATATTGATATATTATGAAATATGATCTATAAAGGTATTATCTTTGCAAAGATATTCGTCCAACACCGTTTAAGGAGTCTTTGCCTCCACTTTATTCTGCCTCCATTTTTGATCCTGGAACCATTTTGGAATATATCAGAATGTAATAATATACACAAACAGTGCAATAAATGAACAATACAACAATGTTTACACATATACATAATTACTATAACTACTGGGAAATATAAAGCAAAAAATGTATGTACGTCTGCGACAAGCACGATATATGCTGGGTGTTAGTAATGAATGACATGATATATTTGTTTACCAAGTATGAGGTTTCTTGACAAATGTATATTTTCTCTTTTAAGTGCTTATGCTAACTGCAGTACGCAATTCATCTACATATTTAAAAAAGTGCAATATAGATACTATAAATTTGCTTACCTTAAGGGTCAATATTTGACTAAATGACCATGCAATGAACATGACAATTGGATGATGAAAAATGAACATATTCGAAGTAGCCTGAAGCCTCAACTTTCCAATTAAAACTATAATCCTGATAATATTAGGAAAGCCATTCGCTTTATATATGTACATACCTAATAATTATACATTATTTAAATTGTAATAGGAGTACATTGGCTATTATAAAAATTGTATTTATCTGGTTATGCGTTTATCGCAACCATTTGCAACAGCATGGATGATTTTAATGAAACTTTTTATTGTTTAAATTGCAGACTGAACATATTATATTTCAATTCATTTTTTATTATCATTGTTCATGATTGGTGATCGTGGACTTCACGAAAGTACACGTGGGCTGAGCCGTAGTGAAAAGCAAGTCGATAACAATTTAAATTAATGTAGATCCTCAAATTGTTCAACAAAACTTATGAATATATTTGGAACAAACTACAACGCAAAATGAAAACGTCATAGTCGGCTAGACTTGAAATGTCTACGGGTAAAGCATTATCAAAACATTAGGAAATCCTTTAAATACATTAATAGTAACTGCTAAACACAAAAGAAAAAGCGGTAGTAAAAAAAATGGCGTAGAGCGGGACAACAGGAGCGACTGATCTAGGAAACGAGACCATCTGCACGATTGTAACACCCTTTTCCTCGCATAGCTCCGCGGGGACCTTCCAAGATGTTCGACGATTTACAACACATATTTAATTAAAATCTAATTAAGTAGTGATTTTTAGACCAACATGAAGTCTTAACAAGGATTGGAACTTGTTAGGGGCAATTTTACTTAGATGAAACATTATCATACTAACGTTATCGAAACTAGTTTTATAATAGTAGAGAAACTATTATATGGATGTATGTACATAAAACGTTATTCAAATATCAATATGGATGAAAATATATTTTTATAAAGGGCCTATGCACACGACGACTAACGCGTCGCCTACACGAATACTGCGCCGATAAACTAAAGCCATATGCACAAAGACAAAAGCATATGCAAACCACGTTTCATAAAGTTTAGACCCTGAGATTTAACATTTATACCTTAATGGATAGTTCACCATTTTACACAAAAGCCCAACAGGAGTTTATCCAGAATTCCTATACTTAATAATAAGAATCAAGAACGTCAACATGTAATGATGTTTGTCGGAAACGTACCAAAACTGTCAGTTCGTTGGAGAGACGGTTCGCGATCGCAACTAATCTGTATCCAAGTTTCAGCTTTCCACGCATTTTCTTTCGCAACACTCGCAGTATCGTATACATGTTGAGCGAGTGCAAAATAAGAAACAAAGCCGCCAGGTAAGTCACCTGCCAAATTAATATTCAAACATAAAAAATAATAATTAAAAACAAAAAATTGCAACTGAAACCCCTTTTATTATTCAGCAAAAATAAATAACAAATATTACGGTGCACGTTCAAACCAATAAGATAAATGAAATGTACATCTTTAAGTACAACGTAATTAAGGCTGTCGGTGCTAAAGTAGATCCTGTTGAAATATACGTATTGCAATTTTAAATTTAATACATTTTAAAATAATTTTAGTTATTGAATAAGAATTAAAAGTTGAGTTAGATCACTTTTGTACCAACGGTCAAAATTCACAGATTTGCAAGCATACAAAAACATTACCAAAAAAAAAGAAACTATTGTATTTCAAACTATCATTCACTGACAGTATGCTGATTATGTATATATATTTCTACGCAAAATTTTATTTGACTGGGTCTAGTGATAAAAGTTGCACTATAATAATGGTGACAACACGGTTTTACATTTTTCAATATAATTAGCATAAATTAAATAATTGACTACATTTGAATATAATATTATAAAAATGTTAGTTATTGTGCAAACTTGTGTACTGTTTATGTTAAAATACAACCATTCTCGATAAATGCTAAAAATGCAAACAATTAACAGCATTAATGTAAAGGCAGTTTTATGATAAGAAATGCGAACCTCGACTGATAAATAAGGAAATTATTTACCATACGCAGTAGTATATTTTAATTTTAAGGAAAAATATAAAGTTGTTTTCTTACAAATCAAAACCAGACGTATGTTTCGTTTTACGTGCGTAGCCTCAGTAGTAATAAACATTACTATTCTTTACATAAAACGCCTATTTATTAAATAATAAAATATATGTATCTAAAAGAAGAAACATTTAACTTTGAACAATTATACATAAGCAAATTATCTAAACGTGTTAAGTTGGTATTTCCATTATTATTATTAAATTTTTATTTTATTTTGTCATCTGAAATAATCCAGTTTAACACTTTTAGACACTGGTAATTTTTTATATTACCTAAATTAATTTTCTATAGGACACCAAAGGCAGAAGAAATAACATTATGTCCCCTGAATACATAAAATAAACAACCCATAATTTTTAATTTCATATTTGGTTCATTATCGAATTCTTAATGTTAGGCTTTGAAAACCTTAAAACTATAACCATTTTAATATATTTAAATCACACTGTATATATAATTATCTCCTACCTACTTACATTTAAATAATTTTTTGAAACATATACATAAGTATATATTTTAGAAGTGTCAAATATTATATTAGCAACTTAAAATAAATGACATGGCATGACAAGGACAAATAAAAAATAAATAAAGGACAGGCAGAGAAGATACACATTTAAAGAGGATACAAACTATGCGGTATTGCCAACTGCCGCCATTTTTATCTCTTACCAAATTTTGGATAAAACTGGCTTATTATATTATAATAGTATAGTAAATATATAATAAAGACATACAAGTGTCATCGTGCGTCGATACTCTCGAAAGAAAGAAAAATGGCAGCGGATGGGTAAAATACTAGCTTCCACAGAATGCTGACTGAAGATGATTGTTTTGATAAAAAATGATTAAAAGACGATATTCAATAACATTAGTCATGTCGTTATCCCGCCCTCCATGCCCTCATGTAAAAATATCAACACTATATCGAGTATCAATCACTACATAATGAGATTCTCTAAGTGGTGCTGCCATTAAGAACTTATGATGATGCTTAGGGAGATAATTCCACAAATATCTAACATATTAATTTGATACATTTCATAACAAATTTTGTATTTAACACACACTGGACCTCTGCGAATAATTTTTTAAACTATAAAATGCAAAACTAGTTCTACGAAATGCCACTTAAATAAGAGTGCGTATTTAATATTTAAAAAAATATATAAATTTTATAAAATTATTTCTGTTTGTTTAATATTATAACATTTCAATGAAACATAATAAACATTGAAAAGTACCTACACTGATGAAGTTTATTTATGAGACAGTTGCTTTCTTGAGACATGGTCTTTTTATCCCGGGAAAATAAAAAGTATCTTACGAAATAAAAAACTTGTAGGATTTTTTATTTAAAAGGTAATCTTACGGGATCTCGCATCAAAAACGATCGTAAGAATCAAGTAAAATCCGTAGTAAAATCCCGTAAAAATTAAAAAAAACTCTGGAAGTAATCCCATATAAAGTAGTATTATGTTATTTATCTCAAAAATCTCTTTCTCAAAAAAATAGTGTCTGTGGATAAGAAGAAAAGCTAAAGTCTGTTATTAATCAATTTCATAAAATGAGCTTTCCAATTTTCTTTTTCTATCTTAATGTTAAGAAATATTCGTATATTGACGAATAGGTATTTCTTAACATCTACGAATCAAGTACGGCTACAGATCCTGGGTTCGAGTCCTGGTTCGGGCAAAGTTTAATTACCGAGTTTTCTGTTAAGATATTCCCAGTAACAGCCCGGAGTTGGGAAGTTGGCGGTGTTTTACGCCCGTGCCTCGGAGAGTACGTAAAGCCGTCGGTTCTGCGCCTTAACCTTCACCGGTCGTGTCGAAGTATCGTCCCATCTGACTTTGAGAGTAAAAGGAATAGAGAGTGCACTTGCACTCGCTACACTTGTAATATATCCTGGGTAGCTGGCTAGTGTCAATGAGATTGGTCACCATAGCCGAAATCGGTAAGGAGGACATTATTATTATTAAATCTATTATTTCCATCTATTATTTCCATCGATTATTATCTTTATTGAATGTATGCCTCAAATAAAATATGTATATAAATTTAAAGAAAAAAAATCAACTACATTATTCTTATAAAAGTGGCATTTATATATTTTGTAGCGTGATTTAGTACGGTATTGTTCCCAAAGAATGATTTAAAACTTTAATTTGTTGTTGTTTCCGACTAATTATGTGATAATTTTAGCGGAAAATATATGCATCGGTACCTACTTATATTGCAGCATACTGATTAATTGCAATTTTTATAGATAATAATTATCAAGTTACCACCTGTGAAACGTAAACACACGATTATATAACTTATTCCTTTAGATTTTATAAAATACAAATGACCTTGCCAATCGATCAAATAATTTATCATTTATTAGAAGAATATATTCGAAGTGTTTTTAATTATAAGGTCAATATATGTAAAAGGATTAACATTTAATGCATATTATCTTATCGGTCAGATATGTATTTTTCAGCAATGATATTAGACTTCACAATAGTGATGCATGGGTATATTGTTGGATTATCTTCATATTTATTGCCTCGTTGGTATAATGTTATTTACTAAATATTGAACGGTTAAAAATTGAATTATTGAACGGTTGAAAACACGAGGTCCTAGATTCTAGTCCTGGGTCAGGCGTAAACAGTTATTCAGTTTCTATCAAAGAAATGCTTAGTAGCAATCCGGATGGTATCCGACTGAACTTTCGAATCCGGCTAACTTAAGCTAAATTACAATTTTGGTTTTAGAAAAAAAACCGTGCCGAAACTATGGCTGAAACCGAAACTAGGCTAGCGAGCTATTCTAGTCTTCAGGGACTCGACGGAGGGACAGCTCGACGGAGCAGAGCATATTTTTGTATAAAATCGAACATGTTACATACAAAAATACTTAAAGAAAGTTTAAATTTCAACCTAAACTGAAATAGGAACCAAAATTCGGTTTAGCTTTAAAATGGTTTGTAAGGACACATAGTAGATGAGAAATTGTGCACTTATGTTTGTACACACGCTGCACTATACTGTACTCGTAGATGGATATGCAATTCGGTCGAGAGTGCATTTTATCATCATCAATATGCTGAATAACATTAGGTACTATACAAGGGGTCGGGATTAGCATGAATAATAATGACCTTCGAAATATCCATTAAATCTGTGTATCATTTCACTGTCAGCAACTTTGGACATTTAATTTAGAACGCTATCTACCTATAGCTGATCAATATCTAATATTTCATTGGTTTATTATAAGTCTTCTTTTACATGATATTTTGCTTATATAATAGTTGCAGTAATTCACTTAGGGCGAGTGTTTACTAATATTCCAACAAATATCGTACTAAACCAAGCAAGTCACATGCAAGTGTATGCTACTGCCCCCACACGGGTACCTGCTCGCTGAGCTTCTGCGGGATGACCATGAGGGTGGTGGCCGTGTTGCCGATGCCGATCAGCAAGAACGACATACTTAATGCTGCCACCTGTTTTGTGTTTGTGTGATGTTTTATGTTTTGTTATCATTCAATAAGAGTATGTAAAAAAAAATTAATTAAATTAAATTTTATATCCCTAATTGGCATGTTAAAATGTTCGATTTCCATATCTAGTAGTAGGGGAGCCCAAGAGGGGATTTTTGTAGTTACTCAAGCGCGGCAGATTAACATAAAAGAGGTTACCTTGCACTCTATTGAGTACTTTCACCATAATATAAGTCTTCTATATAAAGGGGCGCGTCTAGGGAAGCCGATTAAAATATTTAAATAATGTTTAATCATCATAAACTTTATAGTCGATTTTTGCCTCTTCGGCTTGTGCAAATCGGCAGATTATTGAATTGGACACTTTTCAGGATGCGACTAGCCTACCACACCTTAATCTGACGGTTTCAAGTATTTCTACCTTATCAAAACATTTTTTAAATATTTTAATCGGCTTCCTTAGACGCGCCCCTTTATATAGAAGACTTATATTATGGTGAAAGTACTCAATAGAGTGCAAGGTAACCTCTTTTATGTTAATCTGCCGCGCTTGAGTAACTACAAAAATTCCCCTCTTGGGCTCCCCTACTATAGGTGATAGCAAGACATTATACTATCATACATACATATATTGTCTCAGAACAAAGAATTCTGTTTAAAGAATTTATTTTTCCAATATTTTATTAAAGTAGGCCCGATCTACACTATAGTGCCGATTACGGTTCATTCTAGATCACACATCAATCAGGTAAAGTATTTTTATACAAGAAACAACGAGTACATTCACACAGAAACACACTCCAGCAACATTTCTTATATAAAAATAATTCACCAGACCGATATCGGACCGAGAACGGACTGTGAGCGGCCCTTTTTATAAAATAAATGAATATATGGACATACCTGCCATGTCGCTTCTGGATGATAGCTGATATGATACAAAGTGTACGCTATATACAACTGAAACACATATCCACCAAAGAGGAAAGGTAGTAGATATGAGAGTCCACGCCACATCCAAGAGTGGAAACCTTCGATAGTAATGTCCATGTTATGCCTCGCACCCAACGCCTTTAATCTATATAGTACTCCACTTTGATATCTAAACTGCATGTATTGTACTACACCTGGAAAGTGCAAAGGGTGAATAAAGATCAAGTATCTGCCGGATTAATATTTTTTTTTTTAATTTAAATTAACATATTATATTTTGTTAAATATTTCATAAAAGCTTTATTATTAAGTCCATAATCCATATACCATAAATATTTTATTATCTTTAGGTATATTTCACATTATTTTGAAATTAACTTAGGGGAAAGCCCAAAAAAGAACTTTAATATGTACATATTATGTTTATGTATGAGTTTGAACTATAGACCTAATAGTCATGTTATGAACCAAAACGAATTTTATTTTATTTATTGAAACTCCTGTATTCAAACAGACTTAAGAGTATTTACACTATAAAAGTATTTTACAATGGGTCTTACACACCATACAATAAGAGTATTATAAATAGACAGCCGTCTTAACAAAAGTATAAATCAATATATTTCAATGCCACCAAAACACAGGCGTGCCTGTTCACCACTAAAAGGAGTCCTTTCACCTTGACTCCTACTTTCCGGAATGTGCCTTTGGAATACACAGAACGTCTGCAGTTGTTAGGGATGGACATCAGCCCCAACATGAACTACGGGCGGTTCATCGAGTCTAAGGCTAATGTAGCTGCGAGGAAAGTTGGCATCCTTGCAAAGGTCCGACAGTATTTCACGCCGGGACAGCTTCTTGTTTTATATAAAGCGCAAGTCCGGTCGTGTGTGGAATACTGTAGCCACATATGGGCTGGTGCTGCGAAATGCCATCTGTCAGCCTTGGACTCGATTGAGAGGCGTGCTCAAAGGCTTATAGGTGACCCTGCGCTGGTAAAAGCTAACTTACAAAGCCTTGATCACCGACGTAGGGTTGCCAGCCTTTGTGTATTCTATAGGTTACATTTCGGAGAGTGTGCGCAGGAACTACATGAATTAATTCCCCCATCCCCTTTCCATCATCGGACAACTCGACGAACGGCTGGTCTCCATCCTTATGTCGTGGACATTCCACCCGTTCGCACGAAGCGTTTCGCTACGTCATTTATGATACGTACGGCTAAGGATTGGAACAACCTGCCTGCGTCGGTGTTTCCGTCCGATTATAATATGGGTGTCTTCAAGGCAAGAGTGAATAGGTGGCTACTGAATTAGTGCGACTTACCATCTACGACTGCGTTACCACTTACCATCAGGTGGAACGTAGTCAAGCACTAATTCGGAATAGTATAAAAAAAAATCGTACTTACTAATATAAGCGATAAACCACATGAAAGTGTGTCGGAACTCATTCCAGGGCTCATTTTGGGGCCAAATGAGTAATATCCCGGCGACCACCGTCGATATGAAGTGGTGTAACCTCCACCAACCTTTGATCCTGGACCCGTTCACTTTCAATATACTCTCGCGGATAGTTAGCGTACAGTAATACCAGACTAGCAGGAATATAAGGATCAGTTGTAGTGGCCTGAAATGTGAGTACTTTGATTAGATTAGATTTTTTGTTTTGAAATGTAGGATTATATTTAAAATATTCTAGTTGTTTCATTTTAAAATGAAAATTTAAATATTTCATTCAAATAAAAAGTTTATTGTGCAAGAAGGTTGGCTTATCAACAAATACACAGTACAATTAAGTAGAAGATATAATTTGCTGTTTAATTTTACCTAAAGTTTATCCACAAATTACCAACTGCGAGAACAAAGGCAATTGCACTAAGTATTAATTTAAATTTTTCATAATCATCTTTATATTTGAACCTGAAAAAACAAACTACATTATAAAATGATAAAAAATATGAATAATATTTTATTATTTAGAAATATGATAAGATGTCTAGTGATACAAAAGAAACCATTATTTTATTTTTTAATTTAATATATTTTTGGATTTTATCATTCAATTTGATAGCGCGTCACAGTAAAAAGAGTGAATATCAATACAATAAAATAAGTCTCAATTCAATAATTGGGGACCTGTTTTATTGTACTGATAATTTAAGTTTAGTAAACACACAGTCGAAAGAATAGAACTAATAAATCAGGATAAGATAGATAGGTTCTTACTTGTCATTTTTGTTAAGGATTGACACGTTGACGTTACCAAGTATGATCCTTAGATACAAACTGTTTTGCTTGGGCAGGGTCGTTTCGATCTCATGCAACATCGCTTTCCTCTTCATGATCTCTTTCTCGAGATTCGCCAGCCGATCGTCTTTTGTTACCCCCTTCTTCTCCATTCTTGAAGTGGTAGAAACCGTTTAAAATACATTCATAACTCAAAATTTTATTTATTTTAGTTATGTTTGACCGGCGAAATATTATTTATCAGCATGCCAAAATTTACTAAATTAGGTGCATAAGTTGTGTACTACACTGTATAAGTTACTATAGTTTTTTAACTATCCCACGGGAACTCTTTAATTTTTCTGGATGAAAAGTATCTAAAATGTTGACCGGGGATAAAAGGTACCACCATGGAAAATTTCATTTAAATCGATTCAACAGTTTCGGAGATAAGCCCGTACAAATAGACAGAGAAACAAAAATATTGAAAGTAAAAACTTTTTAACAAAAAATTAAAAACCGACTTGTTGCTGTGGTGTGCTTTGGTATGCTTTGCTTTGTATCGGCTAACACCGACTTCGAAATATTTGATTAGGTATGTATAGTAAATGAAAACTACCAATCAGTTATTTTTTACTATTTAGTGCTTTTTTTGAAGTTAATAATATAATTAAGTGAATAAAATATTCGCTTAAACCGTTAAGTTAGTAAGTTTTTATACGAAGACTTACAAACTCAAATTCGCTGTTATTAGTAACACTAAAAATTCTGGCTCTAAAATTAGATTCTAAAGTGTTAGGCTTGTAAAATCAAACAAAATAAGACCAAACTCAAAGTATCTACTACTAGCCGTTGAAGAGTTCCACCTTCCGGTCTTACCATCAGATCAGGTGAACGATACCGAATCACACTATCAACGGAAATAGAAACACTTGCAAAGTTTTATATATATATACTAGGGGCTCACCCTCGCTTCGCTCGGGTTCGCCTCTAGAAAAGCACAAACAGATCTATCCCATGGGAACCGTTCATTTTTCCGGAATGAAAAGTAACCTGTTATTTGACCGGCAATATAAGGTATCAACATGCCGAATTTTAGTAAATTAGGTGCATAAGTTGTTGTGAAACAAAAAAATTGAAAAAATCTGGATTTGTTCTATTTCTCTTCTATACCCCCCTGACTCGGTTTTGAGCATTTTTTTTCTATGTACAAACATTCGACCTCTACAGTTTTATTATAGTATAGACGTATTACAAACAGCGCGTACCCATAAAATTATACATTAATTTATTATAAACTTTTCAATTTTTAAATTTTTCAATTTAAAGAAAAATCGACACGTTGATTCAGGAAACGTAGAGCTCATTAGAATAACATAACGTCGTAATAATACTTATAATTAACACTAAATTGTTGCAAAAAGCGATTTACGTCTAAGGTAAAATGAAAAAATCCCGCGCAAAACTAGAGACAAACAGTTTTTCTTTTCCTGTCTGTCTGTCCCGTGAACGCCAGACCTTCGTTATTTTATAAAAGCTCAAAGTTTGTCAGCGCATGCTCCCAACACAGGTAAGAACGATGGACCATTATGAAGTTCGGGTTATCGTGGCTTTGGCAGGTAAACGGTACTAAAGGTGTGTAAAATACCGATCTAAATTCGTCAAATAATAAAGTGTGATTTTTTGGTATTACATTCAGAATATTATTAAAAATCACGTCATTAAATGCCAGACACTTAACATCGTGGCAACCCCTTGCCAGACACCCTTAATGTTCATGAAATTATAATTCTACTTACTACTTACTACTATATCGATATAGTATAAAAGCTGATTTTTATATATAAAACTTGGGTAATAATTAGATGATCTCTCCTCACTAGCCAGACATTTTTGATAGTTCCAACCCCTTGCCAGACAAGCATGTAAATGATAAGATTCTAAGAAGAGATTCGTGATTAGAATGACATACATGACAATATAAAATAACGAAGGTCTGGGGTTCACGGGATCTTGCTCTATAAAGTATAGATAATATATTGTAAAATAATTTATACATCGTGCAGAAACCCTTCATCAATTCCGGCAGTTTACGAACCCTCCGTTTAAAATGATTGTCGCTATCATAGGGCAAAGTACAAAATGATAAGAGTAAAGCACTGGCTAATAAAATTTTCTGATTAAAACACATTTTGTTATATTTTCTAACTTCAGAATGCTTATTAAAAGGGCGGAAACAATTTACTAATATTGTAATAAATGTATTTACAAAATATTGCTCACCTTTTTCTTGCCCCGAAATTTATTTTTAATATTGTACATTGTACTTGAGATAAAAATTTTACAACCAGAGTTTATATTTTTCGGCACTGGGTGAACTCATCGGGAGTACCTTTAATCAGGTCTTACGCCTCTGAGATGCCTTTCATTTAAAAATCTCATTTTCAACATTTTGCTTTGATTACCACTAATATGGTGATGAAAACATTGTGAGAACCTAGCAGCTAATTCTCCTCACGAAGGAGCAGTGCCTCGTCAAAAATTATTTATTTATCGATGAAAAATAATTCTAAATTCCTGATTATAATAATACGAATAATTGTAAATACTAGTTATAATAGATAGAATTTTCATTAACTTAGAATAAAGTGAAGTAGCTTTAACTGATAAGGTGCAAATTATTATCATACACTGACCTACCATGTATTTGATTTTCATGTGTGGTATATAGTATGTATGTACTCAATACTAGTGGTATGCCGGATATCTGAAGCAAAAAAAGTCCGTTTCCTTGTCCGTATCCATATTATTTTAACGGATATTTTATATTGTTATTTCAATAATCTATACATATAATAACATTCTTACTAAGTCGAATCTGTACATATAATATTTTTTGGAAAATCTTATTAAAATAGTCATTATTATCGATACAGAGGCCGAATCTATGGTTTTTTAAGTTTTTTTCTGTCTGTCTGGGAACGCATCACGAGAAAACCATTGGACAGATTTTTATGAAATTTGGTATGAGGATAGTTAGTTATCCGGGTCAACATATAGGATACTTTTTATTGCGGGAAAATATCTCATTTCTGAGAAAAAATATAAAAACTGCAATGTAAGAGTATACTAATATGTAAAACCTAAGAATTTGGTTTTCGGTCATCCGAACGTAGGCGGAGCCGCGGGCAATGCTAGTCTATACTATAATAAAGCAGTAACTTAGCGAAATCTGTACATGAAATATTTTTTAAAAACAATGACTGTAACATATTATGTACACAATATAGACCCCAAAAGTCAAAACACTAGTTATTAAAATTTTTCTGTTTATCTCTTTGTCTGTATGTCTGTTTGTGTGTGCGCGTTTCACGCAAAAAGTAAAGAACCGATTTCAACGAAAATTGGTGAAGTGATAACTTATTACCCAGGTCAACATTTAGGATACCTTTAACTTCAGGATAATCTTTCTTTCCCATGGAAAAACACAATAACTGGTTTTATCGAGTCCTATTTATAAACCTTCTGCAGGCTACTCCTTAAGACATACTTAAAAAAAATGTACAAAGAAAATTCCTCAATAGAGTATGTCTATCTTCTACACACTCTCTACACACTCGCAATATCTATTCTTAACTATACGGTATACCTATAGGCTATAATAAAATTAACTTAGTCTAGTCAATGTGCATGTTTCACACAAAAAGTACTGAGTCAATCATTTCTCAAATAAGGGATATTTTTTTTTTTATAATACTTTCCTACTTTTCTATACCATTTATGTACATTGAACATATATGTACATATAGTATATTCTATATTTACTGTTAAAACATACCTAGTTAGCTTGCTCTTTAGTTAATAAATAAATAAAATAATATTATTCTTTTGACAAGTGCAGTTTGAAATCCATTATTTGACTTTAACATTATATTTTAGGTAAATATTGTAATTTCTTTTTTTTTTTTTGTTATTTGGCTTAAAACCCAACTATTAATAAAAACAAAATAAATGAACAAATACTTGTAGTAGTACAAGTCACTAAAAATTGGAGTGAACCTACGAATATAATATAATATTGCAGTATATATAATAGTATATAGTATATATGATTTGTAATGCTTTAATTTTAAAAATATATTTGTTTTTGATGTTAACTGTATTTATAATGATATAGAATTGTATTACTAATATATTATGTATTGAAATCAAAGTCAACTATAATATAATCAATTTCTGACCTCTTAAGGGCATTCGCAATAATGGACATTCGATATCTCTGATGATTGAGCTCTTTCAAACATGTTGCTTGCAATTCTCCAACCTCTTCTAGCTTTGTTGCATAATCTTTATTAACTGTCTGTGAAAGAAAGTTGGTGTAAGTGTAAATTAATAACATGCAAAATTAATGAAGAATAAGTAAATTTTATAGATTCTTTAGATGTTTATTTTTTTCAGTGTTTTTAGATAAAAATTTATGCAAATTTTCATAGTCCTGAACATGACTATTTATATAATTGAATTACAGGTGAAATATAATAAAGAACCTTTTTAATATTAATTTATTTCCTTTTTTTAAATGAACATAAATGTTAAAACCTATTAAAAATCATGTATGCAAATTAATTTTTTTTACTGCTTAATTATAGCTGATAAATGCGTTGTCTGCTTATATGGCAAGTCATTAATATTAAAAGAACTTAATGTGCAATTTGAAGTTTTTTCACTCAAAAAAACAATTATTTTAAAATATTGTAAATGTCAACATTATGGTCTATAACTTTATTTATGTTAGTTGCTTAAAATTTATGAAATAGAGAAATAGGTAATATGAAAATAGCAATTTAAAGCAAATAAAAATTAATTTAATGCTGTTCCAAACACAATTTTTCATAACCACTTTTACGTTTAAATCATAATAAATTAGTAGAAAATTATGGTGTAAAACTATTAAAGAGATTTAAAATTCAATTATTAAAAATTAGTAAATAGAAATAATCATACTTCTAATCGTTTATAATCTGCTACTAAATCTTCCCACTCTTTTAGACACTCGTCGATATCCATGTTTAAGAATGACTAACTGGTTTTAATATTCTAAATGCCTCAAAAAGATTGATTGCGTATCTTAAAAAATTAAATTAGCAATAATTTATTCATCGCGATTTTAGTCTGAGCGGTAAAAAACACTAAATTTTACTTCAATGAACATGAAACGAGATAAAGTCTTACTAATGTCCACAGACCAGGAACAACAAGCCCTTTAGCTAATGTCACCTATCAAAATTCAAAATAAACTACAGATAAAATGAGGAATATTTCTCGAAAGGAGGGCGCCACACGTATGGCCTATTTACATTCAATCTAAGGTTATGCAATTTATTGTGATATCTCTTTTAAGCCTGGTTTTTTTGCTACTTACCTGTACAATGTATTGTACCTGGAAGTTAGACGAGCTGAAGGAAGAATTGAAAAGGAGAGGTGCATCCTGCGGTGGCCCTGACTAACTAATGAGTAATGGATCAACACACAGTCTGTCACTGGTCGTACAGACGTGAAATTTGAAGGAAATATTCCTCTTATGATGTACGCACTTAATTAAGTGGGTAAAGTAGGAGATAAAAGATTGTATGAAATGACATGACATGACAGAATGACAGAAAGTAGTGTTTAGCTTTAAGATGAAAAATAAGAAATATATTTGATTTTTTTCGAAATTCATCCTATAAAGGGGTAAAAGGGGGTAATAAAGTTTATATGGGCAAAGAATTATATATGATCAGAATTACTTGACACTTGGTATAAATACTCTTCAATACAATTAAACAAATACGTGTTTCACCATTTTTCGAAATTTAATCTCATAAGAAGATAAAATGGAGGATGAAAGTTTGTATGAAACTCTGTAATCAATATGTAAAAACATACAAAACATATAAATAAAGTTTCAAAATCACTTTCTTTAAAATGGTGTCCGCATAGCCTTAAAAAATAAAGATTGTGATTTCGAAAATCTTGGTTGTCTTATTGCTTTAGCCTACAATTTCTTCACTTTTTGTCTTTTGGAAACAAATGATATCCATTTTCGTTGCATCCTAGCACTGCACAATTTGTCATTTTAATTAAATTATAAATAAAATGAAATAAAATCCATCCACGCTATAGAGCTTTACAATATACTGAGGGCTATAGTGACCGTGACATCTGGCGGGACAAAAAGACAAAATTCTTCGCCATTGTAAAACAAATTTTAAAATACATGTGCTATAGCTTTGTTAAAAAAATGATAGTTATTGTTATTATTATATTTTACTACAATTTTTAGTACAAAAATAAGGAATTTATTTGTGAATTGTGGTATTATCCTTCGAGATAACAAGCATAGAGAATCTATATTTAATTGAACATTTACAATATATCTAATCGTGTCCTTCTTATAGACTTTCCAACGAGACGGACAGAGGCAGGGGTATACAATTTGCCCTTTCTTAAAATCGCAATGAAGCCGGTTATGCTACAGATTGACTATATTTATAAATTGATTATTAATGATTATCTTGACTTTGAACTATGGCTGTCTGCTGTCACTATTTGTCATCCATGGCTGTCACAACTCACAACTTTTATTTGTCATCCATGGTAAGCAGTATATATTATATAACTATACTCTTTGGCTGTAAGCCACACTAGCCATCGAGGAAAAATGTTTCAAGTTTCCTTAAAACAAATCTGTTACATCTATTTGCTTTTTATTATTAAAAAAATCAAAAATATAAAAAAAAACTATAAGTCACCAAGCTGGTCACTTTAGTAAGTGAAAAGTGAACTTCACATCGTTGAAGACGATAGTTCCTTTATTATTGTCTCGACTCTCTTTAACTTATGTCATCTCTTAGTAAGACAGCAGTGAAAACTATAGGTTTATTGGTTCAGTTTAATACGAGTCCTCCATGCTTGTTATTGTTTGAAGGTTTTATCCTTATTCAGCTCTGAATTCATGGATGTATAATTTGAATCTGTACATTGAATATTTTTTAGCTGGATTTGGACCTATTCCAATTTCCTTGTTTGCTAGTTTTGTGAACTTAATATAACATATCTATATTATAAAATATTATTGGGTGTAGGCCACTAACATTATCTGTTGCTTAAACAAATCGTGTACTGAGGATGAGAATTATTGTTTATTTATCTATTTGGAAGGATTTAAAGAAAAAGTCTTAATAAATTACATATTTAATTGATTTATTTACAGAAAATATTAGACCAAATTCTATTAAAATTTTGGTAGTTAATTTTCTATATAAATTTAGACAAAATACAGCGGTTAAAAGGGCACGCACAAAATCCTCTGCAGCATGTTCTGATAGACCAAAGGCGATGTATGGAGCTAGAGGATTCTGCTCGACAGGCATACATATTTCGATGATAATATATATATAATAATCGTCCTCCTGACCAGTTCCTGCTACTGAAATTTTCTAAAAGGAAATCTCAATAACTGAATTGGTCCGATCCATTATGAAAATTCTTTTATATAAGGTATTAAGATACCAACGATGCAGCTTGAGGCAGCTTTCGTTGACTATAAGCAATTAATGTTGATACAAGTGCAAATCCTATTTACTTGATTATAGTAATACAATTCTTATTTAAGAAATCCAGACAATATAGTTTGCAAGCTTTAAATTATACATGACTTTATATCAAGGAGGTTATATATAAAGCGCCATTAAATACGAGATTAATATAGAATCAGTAATGAGCTTTGTGTTTTGCAGCTTACATTCTGTAGTCTAAGATGTACATACTATGCTTTTTATGGGAGAGAAAATTTTATTATTAATTAATGATTTTTTATTAATAAGATAGGTTATATCACGATAAGATATTGAATGCAGTTCATAAGATAATTTACACTAGACAAGTTAAAGAACTATTAGCAATCAAAGTAATTTAATAAGAACTATATTACTTATTATAATCTCTACTGCTAAATATATAATCCCCTTGTTAATAAGATTACCAATTACATTGATTAAGCAAAAAACTCAGTAGTACCATGCTGCTCTGTACTTGAACATTTTGGGCTTTATTTAGTGCTTGTTTTTTAAGCATTTAGCATGGTATTACAACAGTTTTCCAATTGTAATTTATACATAAACATGTGCTAGCACTGCAAAGCTCCTATATCTAAGGTTGTTACTGGTCTCTACGACTACTCACTACAATCTAGAAAAATACCAGGCAACCAAATTTCTCAATATGTATAATAAATAACTAGAAACAGACATCATAAATCATTGTGTCTAGCTACCACGAACAGCGTAGTTAATAAAAAAAATTATAATTAATGTATATCACACATTTCTGTTTACGAAAACATCTAATAATTGTTAAAATTCAAACAACTTAAAAGTATTTATTGTAAGATTGCAAAATAAAATCACTTAAAAAGTAATTTATAGCGCTACCATCTCATAGAATTTCGTTTGAGATATTCAAATTAAAATTTTAAACATATAAATAAATAGTAAAAAATCTTTAAAATATAACACTCTAACTTATAGTTAAAGTTTTGAATCGACAAAACTTAAAATAAGTTCTATTAAACTGCGATTTGTTACAAACAAAGCATCATCCATCGCCGACACATTACGAGAGCACTAAAAAGTTTATAAATCCAGTTTTTTATCTCCTTTGATATCCATTGATGCTGTTGGCATAAAAGCAAACAAACATAATGAGGATCGATCGAGGAGAGAAAAAAAAATCATTATGTACAAGATGTTAATGAGTTATCAATGTGATTCACATAAAATGACTAATTTCCCAGTTAATTGTCATGAATAACCATCGAAACTAAATGTAATAAAACTAAAATGATTATCAAATAAACAAATTAAGGTACAAGTTTTCTATGTTGGACAAAGAAGAAAACGCATTTACTATTCATATCAAATAAAGTTACATCTAAACTTTCTTACGAATAAACAATAACTATAAAATAAAATAGAATAAAGAAATGTTAAATTATAACACAGCTTTTACTCCTCACTTCGATTCGTTCGGTGCGCGACGAATGCTACGTCACTCAATGAAATTTTACTATTATGAAGACGTAACAAAATTAACTATTCATATACAAAAATTACCTAGGAGCCGTTAAGTTTTAATGGAATGTGTTAATCTAATCGATAGATGGAGCACAAAGTGTATTAAATTCAGAATAATGACATAGCATTGTCTTATACACCAGATAAAGTTTCAATGAACGGAAGAAAGGAAAATATCAATAAATTATCAAAACAATTTTATCGATTCTCAATATGATTTCACAATTCAAATCGAAACATAGGGTCTCATAACTCATTGCAGCTCTATTACATGTGAAAAATAATGATAAAGATATCATCGGTGAGTTTAAGTTACTAAAATGGCAATGCTCTTAGCGACACTCCCAAACTTTGACGGTCTGATCGACGCTGCCTGATATCACGTATGGCAAGCTCTTGTGGAAATCTGAAAATGAAATAAATTGATTAGTGAAAAAGTTTATAAATGAATATTACATGTCGAAAATATAGTATTTTATACAAATCTGTTTTTTATCGTACCTAGTATTTAGACATTTTCTAAAAACTGTAATTAAATTTCCATAAATAATTCAGATTATAATTAAACAAATGGACAGAAGTTTTTTTCTCCATATTCGCATGTGATATTCATTATGAAATGTGAAATCATACCTTAATACATTTAGTTGTGAGCCATTGTACAAGTTTTGTAAATACATAGAATATTCTCACTATCAATAGTCATATCGGTATATATAAATAGTATAACGGAGTAAGTGGGACAGACCGAGGCTGGTGGCGAAGTGGTGGTGCGCGTAGAGCGTCTTTAGGCAGCGCGTGTGCGCGACGTCCCACACGCGCAGCGTCTTGTCGTCGGAGGCGGTGAGCAGGTAGCGGCCGCCGGGGTGCCACACGGCGCCGCGCACCCAGTTGTCGTGCCCCACCAGCGTGGCCAGGCACTGGCCCGTGCTCACGTCCCAGATCTACCAACAGACCAACACCGACATTAACGAGTCATTTATACTTTATTAGATTTATGTCTATTTTAATCCAAAAATCAATTTAAATAAGCGAAAACATCCGTAAAGAGTTTTATTTAAAAGTACTTCTTTTAAGCAATAATAAAGAAACGAATCAACATACATATGTCTCAGATCTAGTAACCAACTAATGTTAAAATAGTAGTGCTTCTTTCAAGTGACAATAGAGACGTGAAACTTACTAATACTTACAAGTAAGAGTATATTTTAAACCTAAGCAATGAAACTAAATAATTTATTACATGTATAGTTTATGAGTATGGATTGTATTATTTATCTTAATATATTAAATGATTCCTGTGGAGGTAGTATTTATTCTGGCTAAAAACGAAGAGAACTGTTATGAAAAAAATTGTTTGGGCCTGAGCAATGCAAGGGAAATAATAGTAATTATCGAAGTACTCGGCACCACACCCAACATAAATAATATTTTTTTTTTTTTTTTATTGACAGATAGGCTTGCGCTTGACTACAATCAGCGCTGGAAAGCGCTGATGAGGTCTAGGTTGAAGCGCGCTTGCCTAGAAAAATGCCTGTTCACTCTAGCCTTGAAGGTACTTGGATTGTAGGTGGCAGGAAACACGGATGCTGGAAGGGTGTTCCACTCCTTAGCAGTTCGATTCAGAAACGTAGAACTGAAGCGTTTCGTGCGAGTTGGTTGGATTTCTACCACATAAGGATGCCAGTGCTCACGACTTCTCGCAGTTCTGTGGTAAAACGGTGAAGGGGGCACAAGGTTGTGAAGTTCCTGCGCGCACTCCCCAAAGTATATCCGATAGAAGATCGATAGACAGGCGACAATGCGTCGAAGCTGGAGACTAAGCATTTTCGTCTGCGTTAGTGTTTGATCACCTATAATACGGCGAGCTCGGCGATCTATCGAGTCCAATGCATCGAGTTGATACTTGGCAGAGCCATCCCAGAGGTGGCAGCAGTACTCCATAGCTGAGCGCACTTGAGCCTGATAGAGAGTCAGGCGCTGCTCAGGCGTGAAGTACCGCTTCACCTTGTTCAGGATACCAAGTTTTTTTGCTGCTGTTTTGGCCTTTGACTCGATGCATTTCCCGAAATTGAGATTGGGCGAGATGTCTATGCCCAAGAGCTCAATATGGTCGCTTATCGGGATGGATACATTTTGGAAAGTGGGAGCCAAAGTAAAGGGGCTCCTTTTTGCGGTGAATAAACACGCTTGTGTTTTGGTGGCGTTAAACTTAACTAAATTGGCGTCACCCCAATCGGACACCTCCTTCAGAGTTAAGTCAACGCGATTCACCAAGGCCTTTCTTTGCTCAAGTATCTCAGAAGCACTGGCTCTAGAGCTGGACAAGTATCTATCCGTAACAGTGCTGTCATCAGCGTACCCAAAGATACCGGGTTTTAGAAGATCGTTGATGTGCAGCAGAAAGAGTGTTGCGGACAGAACAGATCCCTGAGGAACACCGGCATTGACAGCCATTAGGTCAGATGAGCAGCCGTCAACGACCACCCTAAATGACCTCTCACTCAGAAAATCAGATATCCAGCTACAAAAGCCAGTGGGTATCCATATGCCGGAAGTTTGCTGAGAAGACTGCCATGCCAGACCCGGTCAAAAGCCTTCGAAATATCAAGAGACACGGCGAGTGCCTCACCGTGTTTTTCAATGGCTTCACCCCAAGTATGTGTGGCATACACTAGAAGATCCCCAGTAGACCGGTTTTTCCGAAAGCCGTACTGGTGGTCGGACAGGAGATCATTTTCTTCTAGGTATGCTAGGAGCTTGTTATTGACCACACGTTCCATACTTTTACAAAGGATGGACGTGATCGCAATTGGTCTATAATTGGCCGGGTCAGCACGACACCCCTTTTTCGGTACTGGCTGCACGTTTGCAACTTTCCACGACTTGGGGACTTGAGCAGTTGCAAGAGAGAGGCGAAACAAACGCGTTAATACGGGAGACAACTCAGGGGCGCAATTCCGCAAGACAATTGCAGGTATACCATCAGGGCCACTGGCTTTGTTCACGTCGAGGTTCCGAAGAGTTTTTAGGACCTCTTGCTGGTGTATGCGTATCTCTGGCATAGAGGAGTCGCATGTTGGAACAGTAGGTGGCATTTTGTTTCCAGCATTGAGACGTGAGTTTTCTGCAAATAGAGACGCTAGAAGATTAGCCTTGTCGGTTGCAGAGACAGCCAGTGATCCATCAGATTTCTGCAGAGGCGGCAGCGAAGAACGGCAGAAGTTCGCTTCAATCGACTTTGCGAGGGACCAGAAAGCTTTACTACCACTAGGGTGAGTGGCTAGCTTACGCCCGATGCGGTTAGTTCGGCTGAAACGAGCTTTTCCCAGAACCCTCTTGTAGGACTTGGTGGCAATATTGAACTCCCTCTTTTTAGTTTTTACGTCCGGTGCACTGAGAGCACGTGCATCTGCCCATGCTACAAACGCTGATTGCTTACGGGCTGATTAATAATTATTATTATCGAAGTATTCCACTATTTGCTAAGTATTATTGGTTAGTGAATTTGTTGCTCCTTCACATTGTTGTTGTTTTTCACGTACAATCTTTATAATTATTTAATAGTCTGATGCTAAATTAGTATCAAATTTTTACCAATCTAAGGCCCTTCTCCTATAACGAAACACAACTCGACGTTCGCACAATTCGCTACTGAAAAATAACAAAATGCACTATTTGTTTTGTGCTTTTTAAATGAACGGACGAATTTGTTTCGAGATACTTAGGAGACGCGACGAACAGACGACCAACACGGCTGGTCGCGGACACGTACGATACCGGTAGCGTAGTGTGCGCGCACCAATACAAATGTTTGTGCGATTCTCCGCGGCGATCAGTCTCCGGGACTCGCAAGATACTAGAGTCGCCTGGGCGTATCGTAATGGAGAAGGGCCTTAAATATAAAAAAAATCCAGCAGAACAGTTTATGTACTCACCTTAACCGATTTGTCACGGGAGCCGCTCGCGAGGAAGGGCCCCTGGTGGTTGGCGCGACGGTTGTCCCCGCCGGCCGCCTCGTTCACAGCGGCGGCGGCGCTCTCCGGCGCCCACGCCACGCACTCCACTACGTGCTCGTGCTCGCGGAGCTCCATCTGGATATCATAATAAATACTATTTAACAAAAAAAAAGGTACACCGACTGCAAAATTTATCAAAAAAAAATACACCATTTGTGTGGATTGTCTTTTTAAATTTTATAAAGGCTCTTGAGTTATAATCTATTTATTTAAAAAACAAAAAGAAATTCGATTACTTATATATTGAGCAAGGTACCCTCCAAAAATACACACGAATTAAATACCTCCTTCTATAGTCGGTCAATATAATAATACTACGAGGGAGCGTTTTTATGTTCCCGGAATGAAGGGTAAGGGGTTGAAATAAAAAAAACAAATAATTTTTCCTTTTCAATATATTCACCTGCAAGACGGACACATTTTTCAGATCTTTCAATTAATTTATTTATACCCTCATAAAAAAATGTTTTGTCTTTGTCCTCAAAATACGCTGAAACTGCCTCCTTAACTTCATCATCGGTGGTAAATTTTTTACCCCGCAGCTCTTTTTTCATTTTTGGAAAGAGGTAATAATCACTCGGGGCCAGGTCTGGGCTGTAGGGTGGGTGGTTCAAAATATCGAAGCCCACTTTAAGCAGGGCAGCCAACGCAACGCGGCTCTTGTGGACGGGCGCATTGTCGTGCAAAAGCAGCACACCTTTCGTCAATTTTCCCCGTTTTTTTTTTGTTTAATGGCTTCTTTTAGTCGCTCTAATTTTGAAGCGTAGTATTCTCCGGTTATAGAAACACCTTTATCTTTATAATCGATCAATAATATTCCTTCTGAGTCCCAAAAGACCGTTACCATGAGTTTCCCAGCTGACTGTGACACCTTAAACTTCTTGGGGGGTGCTGTACCCTTTTTATGCCACTGCATAGAGTCTTGTTTCGACTCAGGTTCATAATGATGAACCCAAGTTTCGTCTCCAGTAACAATTCGACTCAATACACCATCCTTGTCTTCATTGCAGAGGTCCAAAAATGCACGTGAACACTCTACGCGTTGTTGTTTTTGCGGCGGCGTGAGCATTTTCGGTACCCATCTTGCGCTGACCTTAGTCATGCCAAGATGATTGTGCAGGATTTTATAAATGGTTGTATCGGATAGTCCAACCATTTCTGCGAGTTGTTTCTGCGAGCATCGTCGAGTACAAGTTTTTCGACTTTTTGGATAAGTTCTGGCGTGGTCACCTCGATGCTCCTGCCCGGCCTCGGGTCGTCTTCAAGGGATTCCCTTCCTTTTTTAAACAAACTGTGCCACTTGTACACCATGGTTTTTCCTGGACAAGAGTCACCGTAAACCGATGACATCTCATCCATTATGGTCGCAACTGATTTTCCTTGCTTGGTAAGGAACTTTATAACGGCACGATATTCGATTTTTTCCATATTTCACTTTTCACTCCTGATTATGTTGCTTGGTTGGCAATAGCTCAAAGACTAATAGTCTAATAACAATTAAATCTCGTATTTATACTAATTATGAGTTACTAAACACGTTACGATCCTAATGAGACTAATCACCCCCCTCCTACCCTCTCATTCCGCGAACTTAAAAACGCACCCTCGTATATACATATATTCATAATACGCAGGCACCAATAGATCCAAGAGTAACAGTCTATTTCTTATCGATATATGTATGTACTTACAAAGTGAGCGTAGCCGCGGGCAAAAACTAGTTAGAAAATGTTAGTATTGTTAATTGTACCTTGTCTGTGAAAATGTTAATATTATTATATTCGACCGGGTCGGACCAAGTATAATCACTGGGGGTTTTCTTTTATGAAATCCTCAGTAACAGCCCAGAGGAGAAAAGTTGGTAGTGTAACACCTCCGTGTCTTGGAGAGCACGTCTCGCGACGAATCTGCGCCTGGCATCTCACCGGTCTTGTATTGAAAGGAATACAGAGTGTACTACTCTCATACTTGTCAACATAATATCCCTAAAACAATCCTCGTTGAAACTTTTGTTTGACTGTATGTCTGTATATCTGTGTGCATTTCACGCAAACAGTACTCAACATATTACTCGGGTCAACATGTAACGACAACTTTTACTATAAGAAAATTTCATTCCTACCGGAAAATACAATAACTGGTTCTGGCGAGTTCTCCTTGATACAAAAAATATATGATTATTATTACACAAAAACTATTAAAATATTTTCTATATAGCATGGCGAGGGTAACATATCAAACCGTTCCTTTTCACTAACGAATGTTCCTATGATTATGAACCAAAAATCTAAATAAATAGTTTTATTTGAAATATTAGGATAGGAGGGCATTACCTTGCACTCATTAGTGTCCGCGTTCCATATGCGCACGGTCTGGTCGTTGGAGCAGCTGGCGAGCAGCGCACCGTCCGCCGACACGCGCACCATGCGCACCCACTCGCGGTGACCCTTGTACGTCTTCACGCAGTATCTGACAATATATATCATACATTAATATTATTATATACTAAGCCGTACCCGCAGCTTCGCCTGATTTCAAACTTCCGATCGAAACCAAACTTCATAAGATCCTTGGGCTAATCTAAAGATTGCCTGAAAATTTCATTAGTCGCTCCAGCCGTTTTGGAGGCAATAGGGAATGTATACATACACACATAGATTATTATATATACATATTATGTAGATTATCAGGAAGCAGTTGAGGCAACTGATAATGCCTGTATACTGCTTGTGCCCACTAGTTACTCCTTAAATTTTTTATATATATTTTCAGACTTAGATCAGAAGTTTCGCAATCACCTTTTCATTAAAATTCACTTCTAAAATATAAAAAAATCTTCGAGTATTCGGTTTGTTTTGATGAGTTGGTCAAAAGCCTTTTTGTACTTTATTATAAAAAGAATTATTTTTTACTTAATATTAAAGGAGAAAGCAAAATAATATTATCGTAAGAACACTGCCGTAGACAAACATAGAAAGCTTATAAAATAAGTGAAATGATATGGAAATAGAAATTAGGATAAATAAATATAAAAATAGACAAAATGTTTGCAACTTTCATTTCCAAAATAAATTTAAAAATTAACCATCACAGTCAACTATTTTGTAGATATCATTGCAACAAGTCATTTCCGACAACTGTAAAGATATGTTCCAACAATGTTAGGTTGTTTAAAAATTCCCTATCATATAAGCAAAGAAATTTTATACTGTTGTTATACTTTTGCTTAGGTTAAAATATCTGTAATCGAGCGAAAAAACTTATAGTCTTCTAAACTGAGGGACAATTTATCAAAAAGCCTGAAGCAACAATTTATCTTAATAAGCATTATAGTGCCCCTTCCATTGCAATATAGGATCCAAAATATAGGATTGTTACATATATTTTGGCCTTTGGGTTATTTTAAGCAGGTGAAATATAACGATAATTGGGTTAAAAAAAATGAAGGAATAAAAAACAACAAGTTTTGTGTATAATATGCAAAGTTTCTGCTGGATCAAATGAATTTTATCAGGTGCTGCAGATGGCAAATTCAGAGAGAAATTTTATGAATGGTCTCATGCCCAAATATGAAATGGCTGATTAAATAGCAATGTGACTACAATATTAAATATGTTTGCAAATCCCCATTCCTCATATTATTTAATCTTATCATTATCTAATTCTTGTATTTTCACCAACTCTAATATTTGTGCATAGTAAGATCAAATAAATGCATGTGTAAAATATGTATGTATATTGTATATCCTGTGTAATATGTAACCTAAAATTATTTTTGACTAAATTATTTTGTAAAATTGTTACTATTATATCCTTCAACATCCAAATATATCATCTTTTAAGTCTAATAATAAGGTTATAAAAACAAAATGTAACATAAGTATGCCTAAAAAAATTAATAAACAAAGAAAAAAAAGAAAAAACATGGGGAAAGACAAGTGACTTGAACAGACTCATTAACGCAAAAGTGTGTGAGTAAAAAGAGCTAATGTGTAAGTGTGTGTCATTATTTCTTTATGCTGCAACGGATTAAGCTGGCATTAACTAATTATCCTCAACATGAACGAATTAACCACTGGACCAGACATATAAGCGGACGTACCTTTAACGGTCATGTTAGTAACCAGGGAATTTTAGCCTAGGTCGTTTGTTTCTTGTGTCAGTCTCAAGCACTTACTTGTCAACAAAACATCTCCCAAAAATGACTAAATGTTCTGTTAAATGGTGTAAAAACTATAACGGCGGAAGCAGCACTATTTGTTTTCACTTTTAAATACATTATTTTATTACATTGATTGTTATTTATCACAAAATTTAATTAAATGTAAAATAAAATGTCATATTATCCTACTATGTTAAATATAGTCGATATTTCTATGTATTGTTGACATCTGACAACCATCATAAACGGGCTGGATTATACCATTCAGAACAAATGACAAAACTGTCGAGTGAGTCCATTTGACATCGACTAGTGCTTGACAATGTCGAAAAATATATCGATATTTGACGAAATAACTGAACGAATTGTGTTATTTGTACAGTACAATAACATAAAATACTTTTATCACAGTATCCTACAATCTGATGACAATAAATTTATAAAAATATTTTCTAAATCAAATAAAAATATAACTGCAAAAGTTATAATTAGTATGTGTACTTAATTTTTTATTTTATTTTATACCACATTTATATACTTTGGAATATTTTTCCATTGTAATAATAATAAAGATCATTTTATTTCAACACATAAATTACACAAAATCAAACAATAATGTTTTAGCACTAAACTTCTGTGTTGGCGATTTGTAATAAAACACTTTACCACTTGTACTAATTATTTTACTTTCACGATCCAACACTCACTTTTTCACAATTTGCAATCACTTTTTCTTTTTCCTAATTTCACAAATGTTTATTAATAACTGAGCAATATTAGGACAGTGTCACATTTTTATAACTACCCGAGACAATCAATTGCCAATTAAAATAGTTCAATAACAGAATCAACAAAATCACTTTATTTAATTAAATTAGCTTAATATTTTTTTAATCTTTACAAAATAATATTTATTATATATTAATGGAATATACACCCTATATTCATTTGTTTATTAACATTATTATAGGCCAACAGAATGTTGCCATCAATGCCATCGTATTTATATAAATCAAATTAAAAAATAATTATTATTTGACACATTATTATTGCCACTTTAATGCATTTATTTTAATTTTTTATAATAAATACAGATATTTCAAATTAAAAGATGTAAAATATGATGACTATGCTAACCAATGTCTAAAATGTCATTCATTGGTTCATCGATATATGTATTTTATCGATTACGTTCAAACACTAGAAATATTGTATTGTGTATCAGTGTTTATAATAATGTAATAAAATCTTTGTGTGCGTTATGGGTCACTTGGTTGAACTAGTTTTCATACATTTGTATTTTATGTCAGGTCCAGTCTCTAATTCGTCCATGATCCTCAATTATCAAACAGATTACTGTTTAATGACTTATATATTACACGAAAAGAGCCACATAGAAGCCCACTGCTGGGCACGGGCCTCCTCCCAGTACGAGAGGGACCAGGCCATAGTGATAAGGTGAGTGAGTGGTAAGGTGAGTCGTAATCATATAAAAAATGATTCGCATATGAGAATGCCAGAAGTGCCGAAATTTGAACCCGCTTCACTTGGTTTCCCAAGCGGACGCGTTGCGGCTGGGCTACCACTGCCTTCACAATGATCTAACAATAAATATAATAGTGTAAATCAGTGTTCTCACCCGGTGGCCACCTCCCACGCCTTGATGGTCTTGTCCCGACTCGCCGAGTAAACAATGTCGCCGCCCGGCGAGAACGCGACAGACGACACGTTGTGGTCGTGGCCGTGCATCGTCTTCACGCACTCGTACGTTTGGTTGAAGTCCCACAGTTTGATCGACATATCCGCACTGCATGATACTGGAAATGATATGTATTTATCAACACTGAATATATTCAATTAATTAACTAGGTTTCTGGCTGGTTCGCGAGTTCACTTGTGACTGATGACACACGTGATCTAGTTTATTTGATAACGTGTAAAAAACCATGGGGATTGAATGGGATTCATACATCAATAGGGCCGATTATTATTGACTTGATTTTTGTGATGTCATTCTTTCTTTCTTTCACATGAACCTCACATACAAGTTTTCTTTAGGTCATCACATTAAAAATATGTTTAAAATTTAAATAGCATAGAAATGTACAAAATTAAGATTGAATAGTGAATACTGCAAACATCTTACCAAGTAGCTTGCCATGGTGGTCGAAAGCGATGTCCTGAACGGAGTCGGTATGGCCCTTCAGGGATCGTTCGTAATCGCCATTCTCAAAATCCCACACTTTGATTGTGGCGTCCTCACTCGAAGACACTAACAAACTGAACACTGGATGAAATATTACCTGCAGAAAGTTAAAAATAACAATTTTTAGCTACTTTACCAACATTCATAGATTTTTAGTTTATACATACAATAAAATTCTGAGTCAAATCTGTACATTAAATATTATTTGGAAAATTTTATTGAAATAGTCGTTATTATCGATACAGAGGCCGAATCTAGTTTTTATAATTTTTGTCCGTCTGTCTGTGACCGCATCACGAGAAAACCATGGGACAGATTTTGATGAAATTTGGTATGATGATAGCTGGTTATCCGGGTCAACATATAGGATTCTTACTGCGGGAAAATATCTCTGAGAAATATATACTAAACGTTAAAAGGTAACTAGGGACGAAGCAGAGCGAGGATGAGTCGTTAGTTTCACAATATTTTTCCTTTATCTACTAAAATATTCAGGTAATATTTTTAACTAAACAAGAAATAGTATTATAATTACTTTAGGAAGCAGTTATGACATTGAAAAAAAACTACGGACAAGTGCTACTGGTCGGCCACCGAAGGTTCCGTACAAATTTGTAGGAAATCTGTTTAACTGTAATTTTCTACTTCTTTTATTTTTTGAAATTTTTCCTTTATTTGTGCTGTAAGACCTTGCTTTTTACCAAATTTCGTGATTCTAGGTCAACGGGAAGTACCATATAGGTTTACGATCCAAAACCTATAGGGTACTTGCGGTTGACCTAGAATTGTCAATTTTGGTTAAAAGCAAGGTCTTACAGCACAAGTAAAGGGAAAATTCCGACAAATAAAAAAAGGTGAAAATTAACGTAAATTTTGGTATATCAGTTCATATGTACTGATATATTAAATTATGTCGCGTAATATTTATTAGAACGATATCATAGGACACAAGTATACAAATTAAAAAATCATTACTATCTCGCAATTATGGAATATTTAAGTGCAAGAGGATACGGGAATCTGCCAGGACCTTGTCTCCCTGCTCTCATAAACAGCTACATACTTTGCGGAAATCAATGATTAGTAAGGAAATTGCCAAATATATTCTACTGCAATAATGCTTACAAACATCCTCGCTTGATTGCTTCGGAATAGCAATCTAGTTATTCTATTACGAAATGTTACTTATACCGTTAGAATATATTCATTCTTGCAATCTAAAATATATTTAACTTAAAACTAACCATAAATCATGAAAATGTTACATAAACAGAAAAGTAATTCAACATGTTCATAGAACTTCATTTTAAATACCTTTGTAATAGTAGCGCGATGTCCGGTGAGGCAGAACTTTTCCGGCGGGCGCGGGATCCATTCGGTCGGCGTGCGTTTGGCTCGTGTGGGCGCTCCTTCTATGAATTCCTTTTGTGCTTCAGAAAGCTTGGACTCTAGTTCCATAACCTGAAGTATTTATAATAGGCATTATTTACATACTGTTATTAGCTAGCTACTAACTTAAGTACGTTAACGTAGAACTTAACTTCACTTAATTAAAAAAAAAGAGTTTTACCAATTTAATGTGATTTCGGTTTAATTATAATCGTTGTAAGTACCTAACGAATACGTTTGGGCATGACTTAATATTTTAATTAGAAATACTCTGACGGTTAAGTCCGTAACCTTAATTGAAAGACTTTCAATGCCTGGGCCTGTGGCATAGCATTAAAGTTTAACGAGCTGGTACAAAATCTGTGAGCTAGAAATGTTGCAGCAGCGATCGATATCACAGTGCCTAGATGGGAACATGTGGAGTATCTAAACGACGCTGACCTATTAGTACTTGTTAAAAATATGTATGGTTATTAGTTTGAAAATATATATATATATATATATATATATATATATATATATATATATATATATATTTTATATTTATATATATACTAGCATTGCCCGCGGCTCCGCCCGCGTTCAGATGACCAAAAACTAAATTCTTAGGTGTTACATATTAGTATACTCTTACATTGCAGTTTTTGTATTTTTCCTTAGAAATAAGATATTTTCCCGCGGTAAAAAGTATCCTAGGATCGCGCGCTACATCGCCCGGTTTATATAGCTTGAGCAGGCGGTCGAGCGATGCGGGGCAGAGGGGATGGACTCGCCGTAGGCATCTCAATGCTCGCCAAGCATTAAAAATGTTTCGCTACTAATTACTTCTAACAACGATATCTCAAAAACTATTCATCTGATTGATTTAGTGTAAAGAGCAATTTTAATCTGCATTAAATGACTAAGCTAACTAAAATATTCATTTGGATAAGGATTAATACCGAACTAAAGAAAATAACTTTGAAAATAACGTAATGTTTTTAATTAAAAATGTTAACATAAAAGTGGTTATTGTAAGTCAACCGTAAGAGATAGAGATATGCTATCGCGGACTTTTTTGTAGCATTTTTATAGATTTTGAATTCTCTAGTACATTACTTAACTGTATCTTTGCTAGTTTACGCGGCGTTCGCGTGGAAAGTTCCCATTTGGCGAGATTTTTTGCGACCTCTTCAACATTTGTCGCCGTATTTCAGCTAATTTACATAAAAGCATAATAAATTATATACCTAAACCTTCCTCAAGAATTACTCTTTCTATTGTTGAAAACCGTATAAAAATCCGTTCAGTAGTTTTCGAGTTTATCGCGTACAGACAGACAGGAGGACAGACAGGAGGACAGACAGGAGGACAGAAAGACGCGGCCGGGGGACTTATTTTTATAATAAGTATAGATATATATATTATATATATATATATATATATTATATATATATATATATAATATATATATATATTATATATAATAACATTCATATTCGTATCTTCTATACATAGTATAAAGCAAAATCGCTATGTTCGTCTGTCTGTTTCTCCGGTAACTTCTTCTAAACCACGCAACGGTTTATGATACGCTTTTCACTATCACGTAGAGATTTTCTTCCGGAAGGTTTATATTTATAATACATACTGTTTATAGTAGAGAAAAGCCGAGAATTTCAAATATTTGTAATGATATGTATAAAACATATTTTTGGGCGCTTACTGGTTGGTTAATGTACTACGGAATTGTATATCTTAAAAAGGTCAACAGAGAAATCCGCAATCGTATATGTTTATATCCTAAGGATAACCCACAGTAACTATTTTTATCTTTTAAATATCACTAAAAATTAATGGTCTATTACGAAGCTATTATGTTTACAGTATTAATTAATGCTTATACAATTAAATACGTTACTTAGTTATAGTTAAATACGTTGTGCTTTTAATGTAGATCAAAATTGCTCTTAGATTTTAGAAAACATCAAAGATTTAAAATTATTAATCGTTTGCAGCGAAACGGCTAACGCGGGCTAAACCTTTAGAGATATATCAACAATGTACTGAAAATTGTAGGTCTTAAAAAGGCCTACAGAAAAGTCAGCAATAGCAGGTGTCTACCTCCAAAGGTACGCTTACAATAACTACTTTTATCTAATACTTTCTTAGATTTACGTGAATATTTGACATTTTAAATAAAACTATCTTTTCGGATAATTTCGCTGATTTATTTTGATTGTTGGTTCCTGACGTTTCGAATGCTTTACAGCATCCATGGTCACGGGAGAGACTGAGGTGTTACATGTCTTGAAGGTATAGTTATTACAGGCAGCTTACCCACAATTAACAAAATGAAAATTGCAAAAATTACCTTACAATATTTTTTAACTTTAAACATTTTTATAATTTTAATTAGTGTTATAATTGAATATGGAATATTATTAAATTTTTGCTGTTATTATTATAATTATTACAATTTTAAAAATATTAATTAGTAATCTATATTTAGTGTTGCCATTATTATATTTATAACCATAAAGAAAAATATAAAATATAGTATTAATTATTTAAGCCATATAATTGTTCTATGTATAATTTAAAAAGTTAAAATTAATTAAGGATAATAATTTTAATTTAGTTTGCTATTATTTAAAAAACAATTACTTATACACAAATTTTTAAAAAACAATTATAACAATTATAAACAATAAAAAACACGTGTCAGCTAGAAGTTAGTATTGACCAATTTGATGTCCAACAAAAGCTGCAAAATAAAAAAATATTTATTTACGATAAAACTTTTATAAATCTAGACGCATTCTTCTTAGCTTTTAATCTCCCTTTTACATTAATTAAAAACAGATCAGTTAAATCCCAAATCATCGCGGTAGATTATTTTGTATTTTATTAATTTACGTATTACAATTATAATAGTAGAAATTTTCAAGTAATTTACAATACTTGAATTAGTTACTTGTTTCACAGTTTTTTTATATAACTTTTTAAATACTCTCGTTTACCTTCTTTTGCAGCCTAATGACCGATGTCCACTTTTTTTCTAAGAGGCCGCCGAACTTGCGATCCATTTCACCGGTCATGTCTGCTTCCTTCTTAAACGCTTCCAGCGCGTCGTTGTAGCCATTGCTGCCCAGGTAGTCGGCGATCGCTTTGTTCCTGAAAATTATCGAAAATCATTATTATTACTTTATATTTTACGCCTATTCATAAAGGTAACGTTATGTTGTTTAAAATGTTAAAAGATATCTAAAATCATGAACTTTCCATAAAATAAATTTATAATTATATTGAAATCCAGAATTTAGAAAACCCTATTTTTTGTTTTCATCTTTTTTACAAGTTTTTTTTACATTGTAAAAAGTAAATTAGTAAGTTATAATACTCTCCAGCCGCTTTGAAGATTTGACAACACATACAAAACAAATTAAAATCATTGTAGTTACTTATAGTGTTTGGTACCACATAATAATTATCTATACTAATATTATAAATGTGAAAGTTTGTGAGTATGGATGTATGTTTGTTGCTCTTTTACGCCAGAACGGCTGAACAGATCTGGATGAAATTTGGCACAGAGATAGATTATAGTCTGGAATAACACATAGGCTACTTTTTATCCGTGAAAATTGTACGGTTCCCGTGGGATAAGTTTGTTTTTGTCTTGCTAGTATTCAATACTTTTATATATTACTGCCTCGGTGGTGTAGCAGCTAGCATGTACGGCTGCACACTCGGAGGTTCTGGGTTCGAATTCCGGGTCGGGCCAAGTTTAGTTATTGAGTCTTTCTGTATAGTAAGCCTCAGTAACAGCCCGGAGTTGGGAAGTTGGTGGTGTTGCACCCCCGTGCCTCGGAGAGCACGTAAAGCCGTCGGTCCTGCGCCTTAACTGGTCTCACTGGTCGTGTCGAGTGGTCGTCCCACCAGAGTATGAGAGTGACAGGAACAGAGAGTGCACTTGTGTCTGCGCGTACACTTGTGCACTATAATATCTCCTGCGCAGTTGGCTAGTCTTAATGAGATTGGCCGCCGTGGCCGGAATCGGCTAGGAGAACATCATCATATTACATTAATTACAATTTACAAGCATGTGCACATAGATGCGAAACTGCAAGTATACTATATTCTGAGGACTAACTTATTATGTATGTTCCATAAGTTTTCGCATATTAAAAAGTTTTTTTTTTTTATAAATTGTAAATCACTACGGCGAATGCGAAAAGTCAACCCATGATTTGGTAACTGAGCGGACGTCTATTCATCTTGACATTGCAATTTCATATTATGCATCGACTATAATGAAAAAGCTCTCCTTCGTGTCTTCTCCATTCTACGTCACATTGTCAAAGTAATCTGTGCTCAATTGGCATACTTTGAAGTCACTTTGAATTGTATTGAATTGAAGGGAACAGCCATTATAAATAAATTGGGGTGTTCTCACGCATCCTCAGTACTCCCTTAATGTTCCTCGTTCAGAATGTTACTACTCCCTGTGACTAAACACTAACAATTTTAAATTCCTAATGAAAAAAGTATTTCACTAGTTCATTATTAGCACTAGTTGTATATATTATATTGTGTTCTATTATCTATATACATAATACCCCGGACTTACGCGATAGGTGGGACCCAGCGATGACCGTGTAAGTCGAATTCGCGTAAGTCGGGGCTCAACTTTGCATATAAATTCATATAAAGTATGCATAATCGGGACCAGAGTCTAAAGAAAACAGTAATTTAGAAGAAACGTGTTTAATAAAATGTTAGACAATAGAAGAATTTTCATTGTTATGAATAAAACAACGTAAACCGAAGATATTTTGATGTCGTTAAGTCGGAGTTACGTTTTAATGTCCGTTGACGTCCAGTCTGTTTTGATGCTTGATTTCGGTAGGTCAAATTTATTTGCCAATTCACGAATTTTTTTTGTGCTTTAAAGTCTTTGATAAAGTTCAGCTAATGCTCCAAAGAAAGTGTTTTTCTTTTCTTGTTAGGTTCAAATGACTCATTTTTTGTTCTTTTGGATGACATAATTAAAGGTCATCAATAAAACGCACTGCGTACGTAAAACAATTCCACGCGGAACACTTTCAAACCTGTCGTAAACGGAACACTAACAGGGCGGAGTGGGAGAGCTGATGCGCGCGACAATCAAAAAGAAAAACCGCGTATCTCCGAATTCGCGTAAAACGGGGTAGCGTAAGTCGGAGGTATTACTGTATAATACACCTAGAATTAAGTTTATTGAGGAGGAAATTATAACTAACACGTAAATATGGGAGTCATACACCATATTTGGTCCAGATATGGATCATTATTTTTTTTTTATTGCAATGTATGCAATAATGTTTAGTATAAGGTACGATAGAACTTAAACTAAAAATTGTAAACCAAAGATTATTTTGGAAGTATAACCTTAAAATTCATAAATACACTATACTTACTGAATTTAAATAATATGGTTGGTAGTTTATGACTGGTCGAGTTCTCATTTATACAAAAATTTCAACGATTTATACGAATAATACTAAAAATATAATACGGGCCTAAGTCGATCAAGATACTCGGTAGCGTGTCCAGCCAAGCACCGTGTGTAGTATATAATATATATTTTTATATTTTACACGAATCATTTGGAGCCACTTTTCACCTCGTAATAACTCAAAATCTATTTAACATAAACTCATGAAATTGTGTTCAGTTATTAAATCCCCTTAGATTAATTAGAATCCCCAATTTCATAAATGCAGCTCAAACGGTTATTGAGATATTAACGTCTAAAAATCGGCATTTTTATTACTGACTGACATATAGTAGTAAAACCTAACCCACTTCCAGATGACCTAGAAAGTCAAAATTTGGTGTCCAGATGAGTAATCGTGTGCATACAAAGGGAAAAATCCGAAAACAATATTTTTTTAAAATTAGAAGATTTTTTTTTTTTTATTAACACCTTGTGCCTTCCAAAACATAATAGCAATAGCTTAACACCTAGTGCCTTTTGATATCATAGTAATAGCAGAAAATTTTCTTTCTCAGAAGAAAAGGTTCCATGATGATTAAATAACATTTACATATTCGTCTTATCTAATATCCACTAACGAATAGTCGTAAAATTATGAAAAAAATTTATTGAATTTACATGTCACTTTGGAATTACGAATAATAATACTTTCTTTATATAAAGTACATACAAGTTATCTTATATTCGGCTAATCACTTATATAGCACATGTATACCTTCTAAGGTACACTCACAATAACATCTGTTTAAAACGTACCTGACTAAACGCACCCGAGCGAAGCGAGGGAAAGTCTCTAGTATAGAATAAAAATGAATAAATTCAAAAAAATCTACGTTGAAGGTCGGCGATATGCAGTGTCAAACTAGTCCTACATAGATAAGTCGCCCTTGATACCTATATACCCGTATTTTAAATGACTACTCTAAGACCTATATGTATTTGAATTTCTGTTAAATAATTAAAATATTCTTAAAATATAATAATTTTATTTAACACAGGCACAATTATATACATAACTAAAGCGCTCATATTGCCTTTAATCTCAATTCTAATTATTATTTTCTTATTTTATAAGAGTATTACAGAAATATGGGCTAAGGTGTGAAATGTTCACAAATCTAGCGATCTCGCAGATCTATGGAACTGTCGCTCAATAATTGTAAAAAAAGATAAAAGTAGTTTGATTAGAGCATAGATAAAGAATTTTATTTAGTGATTAGACATGATTGGTTTAACTGTAGTACAATCATACTTTACGTTTAGTGTATGGTAGATTAAAAATAATTTTAGTGCGTTAAATAAAAGTACCATATAACGTAGATTTTTGATATAAATAAGTCTTTTCATTATTAAAACTGATTGTAAAATAGTTATGTCAATGAACCTAAATGTTAGACATAAGATGGACGGCGCGGTGTTATTAGCCTTAATATAAACAATCGCGGAACACTACAAACGGGGTAAGTTATCACAATGTTCTCCTTATCAACTCCGCATGATAATACAACTACATATTAATACTTTCCGTGTGCAATGAATATGTCAATTTTTATAAAAATTATAATTCCAAACTACAAAATATGCCCAGATTCTTGCAAGAACTTAAGGGGGCACCGAGGCAATTACGAAATACTCTCGTGAGCAAAAAAATCGACTCAGACGACACATCTGTAGTCGCAAGTCACTGGAAAAAAAACTGAAAGCAAATATATTTTTTTCATAGTAAAATCTTAAAGCTGCTAGTATTAGCTTCAAAATGATATAAAATATTGTAAGGTTTATTGCTCACACAACCCAACAATATGTTGTGATCAGTAACCACCCTTTTTACGCTTGTTTACAATAGTGCTAATTAAGGGTTACTGACCCATATAAAAGGTTATCTACCTGACCCACCCTTATCAGTTAGCCGTCAAACGTCAACCGATACACATCTCCGTTATCAACAATCAAGAATTCTACCTGAAAATGGACACAACAAGCGATTTAGCAGCTCAAGCGATCACCCTATTGCGACAAGGCCAGAGTCAGCGTGAAGTGGCACGTGCACTGAACATGAGCCACTGCTGTTTCCAGAGTTTACCGTCGTTACCAGGAGACTGGTGGCTTTAATAGAAGACGCGATTCCGGTAGAAAAAGGTGCACATCATGACCGATTTATTGTCAGCACATCGTTAAGAAATCGGGCCCTCACTGGCGTTTAAGTCCAACAAGAGCTCAGAGAAACGCGAGGAGTAGCTGTGAGTGGCTGGACAGTCAGAAGACGACTTAAGGCAGCTAGGCTTGAGCCAAAAAGGCCAGCTACTGGCCCCAAATTAACCCCAGACCACCGAACAGCCTACGTTTTGCTAGAGAACATGTTGATTGGACTGACGAACAATGGAGCACCGTTCTCTTCTCAGATGAAAGTAGAGTGTGCTTGCATGGTAGTGATAAAAGAGGACAAGTCTACAGAAGACATGGGTAAAGATTCGCGCAGTGCTGTATCAAAGAAAATGTTGCTTTTGGAGGAGGTTCCTGGATGGTGTGGACCGGCATTTCAAGCGAGGCAAAAACCGAATTGGTTTATATTGAACTGGCGGTCGAATGGGAGGATTGACGGCGATCCGATACATCGAAGAGATTTTAGAGGATC